AAACTAGACTGAAACTGCTCTGTGCAGGCGGTCAGTTGAAAAGACCACAGCTGAATCCGACTTTCCCTGGAAGCTACTGCTTGAGGTTTTAACGCTTACAAAGGCTCAGGGGTTTAGGTTTGATCAACATAGGCTCTTGAGGTATTGTGCCGACAACCAAGCTTCTTGACAGCGGTTTCTAATTCGTACGCATTATCGGAATACACTATACCGACACTGTCCTCAACTTGAAGAAAGTGCAGCAGGTTTTCGTAGCACTCCTCAGCGTTCTTGGAAACAGACGGGTAAACGTATCTAAAGTTGGACCAGACATCCTTAACAACGAATGCAACCTTTTCCCTTTCGAACCCAAAATCTCGGAAGTCCTTAGCGATGACATGGTCAATCGTGATGTGGTCCCCGAACTTCTTGGATGCGATAGTGCTCGATCCTCCCTTCTTTCGTGCGTGAGGGGCCATCATTTTTGCCCGTGGGCTTTTCGGGGTTTCTAAAGATTTCCAGGAGTTCGTCAGGGTTCAAGGGTCAGCGGGGTTTTGCAGAATAGGGTTTCAATGCTCCAAAAGGTTAGGGGTTTATGGGGTTTCGGTTGTTCGGGCTTCGTTTTCGGGCTTCCAGGGCTTCAGGTCTTGCAGAACGTTTTACTTATATTCGGGCTGCAAGGGAGCAGTGCCCCAGGGTCCCCAAAATCCGCCAGACCTGTACTGTTGCCGACGATCCATGTTTTTCTAAAGGAGTCCAAACCCATGTTTGGCTACAACTTGAGTCTCTACGGAATAAATAAAGTGAACTCTCCCCAAATACTACAAACCTTCGCTGAAACTATGTTTGGGCCCCCTGAAAGCAAGGAGCGACAAGCGGCGCCAAATCCCATATGGCGCTGCTTGTATCTCGCAGGCAAAAGAAACTCAAACCGAAACTGCTCTGCGCAGGCGTGCAGTTGCAAGGATTGTCTAGGTGAGAGGCTCGGGGTCTTGAGCGGGCGGGTGTAGGATGTGTCGTCAGGGATTTGTCAGTGTTTGCACGGGCTTAGGGGTCAGGGGGGTTGGGATTTTAGGGTTTGAGGCGTCCAAAAAGGTGTAGGGGTTGGGGTTTTAGTGTTTTTGGCTTTGCATGGCTGGCATTTCCGATGCTTGCGGGTCGGGAGCTTATGATTTCAGGTTCCGGGGGCCTACAACATTTACAGGGCAGCAATCCGCCAAATTTTGAGTGTTGGCTCTTAGACGAGTGGGATTACGTTTGGACCCCCTGGAACATGCGACGACACTGCAGGATACATCAATCGGAGTCGCTTGCGCTGCTCTCAGACGTCTCCGATGAAGAACTTGCACCGTCGTCAGCGCTGAGCTCCTGCTCATCGGAGTCAGGATGCTCCGCGGCGAAGCCCAGGCCGGCACCGGCGGCCGCTGCTTCCTCCTCGCCCGACCACATTTCCGCATCCGCATCGGCTTCCATGTTTCATGTTCCAGTCCTCCTGCCAGAAGCCATCTTGCTCCTTCTCCTCGTCGATATCACACATGTTTTCATGGGTCGTGCGATTAGCCGACGCTTTCCCAAAACAGAACACCACGAGGATAGGAAGAGTGACCTCCTTTCATGGCCTTGCACTTGCTTGCGACAGTGGCCAAGCTGCATCTCGCGTCATACTTCAAGTTGTTTCTTAGAGGGTCGCCCGTCACAAACTTGATCAATTCGTTGATGCGATCTGACGCGGACTGTGAACAATACACGCCTGTCCCGGACTGCTGAAGAAGGTTTCAGAGGGGGATTTGAGAGGGACTTCAAGGCTTGCAAAAGGTTTTTGGATCTCCACAACCTCGAAACAAATCACGTATGTGCACCTTCCGAGCGCTTGGAGAAGGCTTTCAGATCTGTGAAACCTCTAAACAGGGCCCGAAGCTGTGCAAAGATTTCTCATGGACTCGCAAGTTTGCAAAAGGCTTCTGGACCTCCAAAAGCTCCAAACAAGGCACGTATACACACCTACCCAGCTGCAGGAACTTCGAACAGGTCCGAACTGCTTGGAATAGGCTTTCAGATCCCAGAAACATGTAAACACTTCCCGTCCGTGCACCTACCAAGCGCTGCATGATGAACTTCAGCCCCGGGGCAGAGATCTCTTCGGTAGCCCACAACTGGGACAAAGGAATGGACCGGATCTTTGCTGCGTTCGCTGCTTGGGAAAAATTGCCGTCATCCCAGCAGGCTCCGGCCTGTCTACTCCAGTTCGTGGGAGGTACTGATGCAGTTGGGAATTCTTCTGCTGTTTCTTCTCGGCGAAGTACACAGGGATAAGCTGCAACATGGCCTGTTCCGCAAACCAGATCATGGTTCGCCAGAACTTCGGATCGGTGAGGCCAGCGGGCATGCACTTCGTCACGTCCCAAGATGCCTCGCCAGGGCCATGCCATCATGGGTTTCGGGGCCAGTTTCAGGGTTCTGAAAGCTTGGCAAGCTCTTGCCACTCAGGGTTTCGGTGCTCTGGGGTTCACCGCTTACAACTTTAAACACAATGCAAAAAGCCAGTCTTCGGGCCCCGCAAGCTTGGCAAGATTAAAGGTTTCGGGGCTTTTGAGTTCACCATGTACATTGACGACTTGCAACATTTACGACTTGATCTTAAGGCGTAGCTTCAGTTTCGGGGTCTTCAAAGCTTGACAAGTGTGCAGTAAGGGTTTGAAAACGTAGCAAGCCATTGCCATTCAGGCTGCACGGGCTTTTGGGATCACCCAGCCGCTCGCTTGCTTTGTTTTCCGCGCACCATCCACCAGAAAGCTCAACGCTCCGTTTGCCCCGTCTCTGAGAGGCTGTGTGACGCAGAAGCTATGGCAGCCGCGACCCCTACAGTAAAGGAAGACCCCAAACCCTCAAGCCTGAATCCTACTTGGCGGGTCGGAAGACTTAGTAAGTTCTTTTCTACTTAACAACTACTTGCGAAGTCCCCCGACCCGCCCAGTAAATCCCAAAGTCAGGCTGAGGGCTCGCTACCACCACGTGAGAGCACGAAAACCTTGGTTTCATGTTAACAAAGAGCGTTCTGCTGTACGGGGTTTGAGTTGGACTGCGGCTGCGCAGCAGAAAGAACATGTTCTGCATAAGCACCAGTACCACCGATCATCCCAGTGTCCATGGCCATTGCAGCGAACAAAAAGACTCAGCGGTAATGTTGAAAGTCCGCGTGTGATGTGTCGCTAACATCCCTGGTGCAGCAATGATCTCCTGTCCGCATGAGGCACATCGTCGTACACATCGTAAACCGTTGCATGTAGCAACATGTTTCCCCGCCTCCCTCAAACCTTTGAGGTCGTCTGCCATAACGGCACCTGGCGTCTTTTTGGCATTGGCCAAGGCGATGGCCGCGTTGATGGCCTGCAATGTCGGAGGCGCTGCAGGACGCTGTTAGATGACTAGCGGTCTTCTCAGTACGTTTCATGGTACAAGGTCACACGACCGATACCACTCTTGCCGAAATTTCTTTGCCAGATTGTAGCGGGTGGGCCTAGGCAATCTGCGGAATGAGTGCTGGTGCAAACGATTGGTGCCTGGGCCACTGTGCCACATTCGGCCACGTGGCCAGCGCCACACTGCTCATAAAGTCGCCCTTGTCCACGAGCGACATGCCAGCGGAGGGCGGTGCCACTCGAGCCCAAGAGCTGGCGCATCATGGCGATGTGCCGAGTGGGGTCTTCTCGTTTGGAGAAGCACACCCACAGTGGCTCCGCCATTGCCAAACTGCCAAACCTAGGCCTAACCCTGAACCCTAACCCCTGCCCAAAACCCCAAACCAAACCACTATTTCATCCGCGAGTCTTCAATAGCAGGTGTTGGAACCAGGCTAGCTTCTAAGATTCTAAACCCACTGCAAAACCCTACAGCTGACAGCTGCTCCTGCAAAGCTCTGATCTTTCCCGAGGAACTGCAAGGACTCAAGTGAATGACCTCAAAAACAATAATCGCCCGATGCGAGGCTGAACACTGATCCTGGAATGTTAGTCTCGAACCGAGAGTTTGTCAAGTGTACCCTGTAGCTGGAGCCAGGTTCTCAGCTTGAGGGACGCACAGGTGAAACGCCCGCGGGGAAAACGAAAAATTCACATGGAGAATGCTGTACAAACGAAACAACAGCAAAGGACAACGAAGAAATGCCACTCGCACTTTTCGCATCTCAAGTTGACTCAGCCAGCATCGCGATCATGATGAAGCGAAGTAAGCCGAGCTGGCCAGACAAAAAAACTAGAAGAGGGATGGCCCGAAAGCATCGATTTGCCGTGCATTGACTCCATGCACTTGACTCTTTGCACTTGAACTGTATGCACTTGGACAAGTGTATGCACTTATATGGTTGCATACTCACTTGTATACTGCACGTGCTATGCACTCGAACGGCATAGCATTCAAGTGTGTTGACTTGAATGCCATGCACTTGTGGTCAACTGCGAAACGAGCGGAAACCTATTTTCTCCCACTCTTGCTTGTGCCTGTAAGGGCAAGCTGTCCAGCCCAGGCAAAGCTGGGGCTGGCGCGCCAGGCGGTCGAGCCTTTGAGTGTCACCCCGCACCAACATCCACCACGGAACGAGGGACGCTTTAAGACTGCCGCACAGTGGAACAGGCCCATTGCGGATAAGAGCAAAAACCTGGCAGCCAGGCAATGTGTGACTGGGCACATGATGCAACAGCCAAACACTGGCGCCACGAAAACGAGCAGGGCGCGCGTGAAAATGCTTTTGCCCATCCATCGAAGCACGAACACGACGCAGATAGCCTGCCTCGGTACGCTATCGCACTGTCAGAATGCTTGGCAGTTTGCAAACATTTTCTCTGTTGACTCGCTTCCGTACAATCCCAGGGACACAGAAGCGGTAGCATGCCCTTGACACAGGGCTGTGAAGCGTGCCCACTGATCTCAAGGCCGTTGACCACCATCGCTCCTGCGGCGGCTGCTGCTGGCCAGGCTTTCAGAATCATCCATCACAAAGTCTTACTGGACATTCAGACAATTTATCAACCCAAGCTTACCAAAGCAGCCTCGTCCAGACAAAACGCCAATTGCGAAAGCATCGAGAGAACCCCCGGCTGCAACTCCATCAGGACTTTCTGCTTGTGTTTAAGTGGCTGGTCCAAGCAGAAGGCAATCCAATCTGCAAGGTGAGGCTTCTCACGAGTTGTGGTCACCCATGGGGCCTTGTCGCTGTTCAAGTCCCAGGCCCAGGCAGCCTCAAAACGCTGTGACCAAGACGCTTTGTTGCACCACAACTCTTGGCGTGGTGACCGCAAAGAGCACTGAGGCCAAGACACTGCCCCATGGATGCTGACATGCATAACATCTAGCTTTGCAGAAGCATCTGCCAGCGCAAAAACTTGCTCGATTATCTCTCGCAGAATCTTGAAGGCCATCTCCCTGTACTTCGGCCCTCGCTTGGTGTTCGACAAAAGATACACTATAGTCAATACAGCCGAGAGCATCACGGAGGTCGGCAGCCAGGCTGCCTGAAACTTGTCCCCACCCTTTGCCTTTCCCAGCTGTTGAAAGAACTCAATTTTGGGAACGGAAAACTGAGGCCAAATCTTCTCATGCATCTTTTCTACAGCACATGCTCCCGGACGTCGGCCGACTTCCCCCTCAAAGCAGCTGGCTTGGCCGTGTCAAAGCATCCCCCTCAAAGTAGCTGGCTTGGCCGTGTCAAAGCAGGCTTATAGAAGCGCCAAAATGCCTGCTTCTGAACCCCTGCTGTAGGTACTGCACTGCAAAACGCAGACACACGTCGTCTCCAACGCGTAGCCGACCTGACACCCGGTACACTTTGGGGGGGAGCGGGGGTGTTCTATGATGCGGAAACAACGCGCTTTCAGGCGGGGGCGAAAATCATCATACGAAGCTGCCATCACAAGCTGCCACTCATGACCTCAGAAATAGTGAAGTAAAGTACTTTGGTGTCTGACAAGTTCTACTGCAGCTGGAGTTCCTTGGCCGGCAGCTCTGCTGCGGCGGGGCCACGGGCAGGCACAGATGGCACAGACTTGAGCTGAGCAAAAATCCGGTGATCTCGAGCTTGCTTAGCTCACTGCAACTCACGGACAGCTACAGACTGCCACCGCTCAAATGCTTACGTTGATGCCTTGGCTTTGGGGGGGGTGGTTTTTGAGGGGTCCCTTAAAAGTTTGTACGTGAAACTGAGGGAGCACTGGGGAAACGAGGCAATAGCAACGGGACGAAACAAGAACAAGAACTAGCGAAAGCCCAGCGGCAAGTTTGAGGGTGCTGTACATTGCGTAAACAGTCGCTGTCCACACGCCAAGCCCTCGACTAAGTTCAAGACGTTTCGGCTGCGAGGTCGGAAGGAAGCGGCGCGCGCATCTTCTGGCATCGCCAGAGAAAAGGGCCACGCAGTGGCGGCATTTCCATTGCTTGCAGGCCCGGTCAGCTGGAACTTGGACCTCCTGTCGTCCTGCATATTAGGTAGAGACGTCTGTTGTCTCACCCGGAGCCACTGCGACCAAGTGCTTCTCCAGCAAGGCCATTACCTCTCGATTGCCCCGATCATCACCATGACGCCGCCCCACGGCGCCACAAACGACCACAGAACAGGGCCGCAGGGTGCGAAGTTCTAAGCTAAGTTGTCATCAAGCAGCGCTTGGATGATTGTGCGCGTAAGCGCGCTTGGCGCGCTTGTTTGGGGTGAGCATTTTGTAAGGTACCAGAGGAGACACTGGTGCGTTTTTCCAAGTCCCTGAAACGCACGGCTTGCACGGAAACCTCCAATTTGTAAGTTGCTAAAATCATGCATGGGAATGTCTGGTCTGTGGTGCGTTTGGGGCGGTGGCAAAAACGCACTGAGCTCTTTTTCTCGGCGATTCGCACCGTGTACCCCAATCCAGCTGGTCCAGGCCAAGTCCTGGTGGAGTTTTGATATGCATTGCTGGTTGTTTGGGGCACCCCCAGCACGCGTTTCAGAGGGTTTTTAAAACGCACAGCTGAGGTTTGGGGATTTCAGGTTTTGGGTTGAATGCCTTCGCGCAGCTTTGGTTTTTGGCTTGGGGGCTTAGGGCGGCGACGATAGAGTTGCTTAATTAGAGACAGGGCTTCCAAAAAAATATGTGACCTGAGTCCCCAGAACCCCCCCAAACAAAATGGGTACCTGGCCGGGGAGGCGGGATGGGTTGGGGGGAGGCCCCAAACACAGCTGCGCACACGACACAACGACAGAAGGGCAAAAAAGGGATGGGTTGGGGGGAGACCCCACACAGCAACCTCACGCAACCCTGGCAAGGTGTAGGGGTTAAGTTTGCTACGTTTTGGGACACCCCAGAAACGCACACCCAGCAAGAATTGGCTAGGGGTTGTAGGGGTACGAAGCTATGCGTTTTGCAGGGCTTTAAAAACGCACAGCAGAGGTTCTGGGGATTTCGGGTCTAGGGTGAGGACTAGTGGACAGCCAGGACGCTGCTTGAAAAGCCGCCGAGACTTTCGCATCACACTTGGCCCATCCGTGACAATGGCCGAGACGTGGTCCGCGCCAATTCTCTGGACAGCTTCCACAGCAAAGCTGGCCATGCGCGGAGCATCTTGCTTGGAGTCCTTGAAGTCCTCTGTTCCAAGACGCAATCTGCCAGCATTGTTGCTGAGCCAAAGATTCACCATGCAGTGTCCCTGTGAGAACTGACCATCGAAAGACAGCGTGCCAGGACCGGCTCGTGCCAATTGCAAACCCTTCTCGGTGCACTCCTCGTAGAAGCTTGCCAAGATTTTGCAAAAGTCCGGGCGACTGATGCCCTGATACCGGCCTGCAGAGATGTAGGAAAGAAGCTGTCGAGTCCGGGGATGCTGCGCGCGACTGAATGCACTGGCAGTCTCCACGATCTCCAACACCTGCAGTTCACGAGCGTGCTGCAAGTCCAGGTCGCCTGGCTTGTCGAGCTCCTGCCTTGCGACTGCCCATTGCTGGAACTCGCAGTAGACCTGCGCCGGCTTAATGCCCTCCATGGCCAGCTTTGCAACTTGATTCTGCGGAAACAACTTTGTGCACGGGGTGCAGCGGTTGGAGCCGTGCAGCTTTCCATTCTTTTTTTCAGACGCTCCTTCACGGCAGCCGTGAAGTCAGCCTCCGTTCGCGCCGGGCGATCAGGGCCAGACTGGAGCCATGCTGCCTCAGGTGCGTTTTGTCAAGGCTCAAAAACGCATGGCATCTAAATCTAGCCACGTGAACCTCCATGCGTTCTAGAGCTCCTGAAAAACGCATGGTATCTATATCTGGCCACGTCAACCTCCATGCGTTCTACAAGCCGTGAAAAACGCATCACGCAAACTAAAACCCAAACCCGGCCTTGCTCATGCCACCCAGTTTGTGGAAGAGCGCGCGGTCGCTTCCTGCTGTGAAGTCGCACCATCCGCAGCCTGCACACATCCACAGATCCCGACTGCCATCGCTGCCAGACTTTGGAATCCGAAGTCTGACCATGCCAGACGCCAGCACTTGATCCACAGGCTTCTGTGGGCTACATTCCAATGTTGGGCTGCTCCCGAACTCATCCAGGAACTTCTGACAGGCTTCAAACTCGCGAAGGGCCCCAAAGAGCGGGTGCTCGCTCAACTTCGGCCCTTCACAGAGCCGCTTGCCATGCCGGGCAGCCATGGTTGCAGCAAACCGACTTGCTACGATTGAAACAGAAAGCTTCGTCTCTAATCATGACCACTTTCTCTCTATGCTGCTTCCGTCGCTGTGTGCGTTTTCTGGGCTTCTGTAAACGCACTGCATTGGGCAAAAAACACTTGCGCGACAGCTTGTCACGATATAGCAAAAGCGCGCTTGGCATGTATATGTTAGAAGTGCGCTTGGATGGGGTGCGCGCTTAACTAAGCACGCGCTTAACAACAACTAAGGTTCTAAGTTTCAACCCCTTAGAATGTAGCTTGGGCTAAGCTGAACTGTGCATCGTGTTCGGCATCCGCTTTCCTGCGCCGACCGGAAGTTGCTGCACTTCTGCACTCTCTCTGCAAGAATCCATGAGCCGTGAAAGCAGTCGATCGAGCACTGCAAGCAAGGCCTGGCCTGCATGTCTGCTGCTGTTTTGACACCGCAAATGAAATGACGAGGCCCCCAGGACAGGCGCAGATCTTCATTTACAAAGATTGCTGCATTCTGCTCGTCCGGAAGAGACAGGTTGAGTTGGTGTTTGTTTCCAAGCCCCCAAAACATCACCTTATAGTCTTCAAGGATCTAACTCAGCGTTGCTTGAATGTAGTCACAATGTAGTTTATCCCTGAAAAGACCAAACACGCCACTTTGAAGACTGCATAGGATCAGTTCCATGATAACACGTAGCACGCGTAAAAAATATCACGGCAGCTGAGTTAAAAAATCACGTGCGCGCGGCTTTCAGTTCAACGTGAACTTATATTGCATTACAGACGTGAAACCTAGGTGTGTACAAGCACGCACATAAGCCACAAGTTTCGCCGCAAAGCAGCACTGCTTCTCCTGGATCGACCAGCCGCTCACCATCCTCATCCGAGGCCGCCGCCTGAGCGTCGCGCAGCGTGCCCGTCGGCCGTTTCAAGCCGTCCCCGACGCCAGCGCCGTCGTCCACCTCCGCCCTTGGAGCCGCACGGCGGGCACGCTGGCATCGCTTGCCGCCTCCGCCCCCTGCTGTCATTTTTACCTTTTCTGCAGTCAGGGGGCATATAGTCCAAGGAAGTTGATGCCCAATAGTTGCTCTGCAATACACCGTCCTCATTTGATTTTTGCATGTAAAAAATTCTACTTCTACAACAAGGCCTGTAAACAAAGTCGTGGTTACAATAAAAATGCAAGCCAATTTTTTTCAGGTTTCTTTTTGCCAAAATTGTTAAAACTCATACCATAACGAAAAAATTGATAATTGTAGATCGTGCTTTTTGGCGGCCCTTCGACGACAGTGTTTGGCAGACAAGGTGGGGTCTCGGGCGGGTGGGAGATTAACACGCGCGTCCCACCCGGGCCGGGGCGGGGGGGTAGGTGTATTCTGGGCAAGTGGACATTAAACCTGACCTGAACCCTAGACCCAAAGCCGAAATTTCTGGGGTTCAGGGTTGTGTTGTTTGCAGGGTTCAGGGCTTAGGGCTTAGGGTGCCCCGAACCCTCAAGAGGACCAAACACCAGGAACCCTCGGCCTTGACCACGCCGACCCCCAACCAAAAAGCGCAAAACCCCCAAAACCCCAGGCCCCAAACTCTGAAAAAGAAACCCAAAACTCGGAACCCAAACTTCCCTCAACCCTAAACCCTAAACCCTAAACCCTAAACCCTAAACCCTAAACCCTAAACCCTAAACCCCAAAAAAATGTATCCCTCCAAGCGGCCCGAGGAAGATCTCTGTGGGGGAACGGCTTGGCCTGAGGTTTAGGGCTTCAGGGGCTTTCGGCTTTGGGCTTCAACCACTCCGTGAGGGCCCCCTTAGCGCTGACGCGCATAGGTGCTTAGGGTGTAGGGGGTTGAGGGCGTTGATTGCAACATCTTGTACCACCTCTCAAGATCACGGTAGCAAACAATTTCAAGAGTAAGAGTAACAATATTTACAACCCTAAACCCTAAACCCTAAACCCTAAACCCGAAACCCTAAACCCTAAACCCTAAACCCTAAACCCTAAACCCTAAGCCCTAGCGGCCCGAGTCTTGGTGCACCATTTCTGGGCTCTTGTGCGAGGTTCTCTCATTTCGGCGCTGTACACTTCGACTGCCATCTCTGAAATGAGCCCCTGCAAGGGTTTCGGGGCTCATTGCCCTAAACCCTAAACCCTAAACCCTAAACCCTAAACCCTAAACCCTAAACCCTAACCCTAAACCCTAAACCCTAAACCCTAAACCCTAAACCCTAAACCCTAGAGCGCACACTGCGCGCCTGCTGGCTTCGGAGGATGGTGTACGGCGCGTCTGCCTGACAAACGGGCGGCTCCCAGCACTCAATAGTCTAAGCTTTCTTGGGTTTAGGATTCAGGGCTTATGGGTTCAGGGTTTAGGGTTTAGGGTAGATATGTACGGGCAATAATGGGACCAGATTCGTCCTTCTCAAGTTATGATCTCACGGCGAGAAGGCTTGGGTTGGAGGCCTTTGCATGAACCGAGACCTAAACCCCAAACCCTAAACCCTAAACCCGAAACCCGAAACCCTTAAACCTAAGCCCTGAACCCTGAATGCAGAACTGGAAATCAAAGGCTTCGACTTCTCGGGCTGGGGTACACCCCTTGCTTGCAGGTTCATGGGTACAGATAACCCTAAACCCTAAACCCTAAACCCTAAGCCCTAAGCTTAGGGGACTCAGGGAGCTTAGAAGTACAGCGACAGTTGGAGCATTACGTACCCCGGAAACTCCACGCAGTGCTGGGCGCCTCGTCCCTTAAACTAGGTTTAGGGTTTCGGGTTTAGGGTTTAGGGTTGAGGGTTTAGGGTTTAGGGTTTAGGATTTAGGGTTGAGGGTTGAGGGTTGAGGGTTTAGGGGGGCCCACACGGCTTCTTGTCTGGCCTGGTTGTCCCCGGCATGCCAGGGCGTCTGCCCAGACCTGACAGTCTCCCATGAGGTTTAGGGTTTAGGGTTTAGGGTTTAGGGTTTTAGGGTTTAGGGTTTAGGGTTTAGGGTTTAGGGTTTAGGGTTTAGGGTTTAGAGGGTTTAGAGGGTTTAGAGGGTTTAGGGTTTAGGGTTTAGGGTTTAGGGTTTAGGGTTTAGGGTTTAGGGTTTAGGGTTTAGGGTTTGCTGTGATAGGGCGTAGGTGCTGTGAAGGTTAGGTTTCGGAACAAGCTCGAAAGCTTTGTGACAGTCCACTTGTAAAATCTCATTCAGGCGGGGCAGGCCAGGGGCCAGAACCCCCAGGAGGGGGGCCAGGGGGTCAGGGGTAGGGGGGTAGGAAGGTTAGGGGGCCCAGGAAGGTGAGGCCATGGGCCAAGGCCAAGGCAGGTCAAAGGGCTTAAGCACCGCCCCCCAACGTAGGGGGGCGGCCTAGGGGTCTGAGTTTAGGGTTTAGGGTTTAGGGTTGTTGCATGGGCATAGACCCATACTTCTAACCCTGCTTGTGGCAATCCCATTGAAGCAAACCCTAAACCCTAAACCCTAAACCCTAAACCCCTCCTAGCCATCCTCAGAGGGGCTCGGTGAAAGTGTTCGCGCTTAGGGTTGACAAGGTTGAGGGCTCACACCACCAACGCCCTGGAAGCCTCCCATGTTCTTGACTCGGACCCCACGCCCTAAACCCTAAACCCTAAGCCCTAAGCCCTAAGCCCTAAACCCTAAACCCTAAACCCTAAACCTAAACCCTAAACCCTAAACCCTAAACCCTAAACCCTAAACCCTAAACCCTAAACCCTAAACCCTAAACCCTAAACCCTCAACCCATGCCCAAGGCGCAGCAGCTCGAACATGAGCACCCCCAGGGCCCACCAGTCGACGCGCTCGTCGTGCTCGTGGGGGAAATTCAGGATCTCTGGGGCCATGTACTCCTGTCTAGGGAGTTTAGGGTTTAGGGTTTAGGGAGGGTTTAGGGTTTAGGGTTTAGGGTTTAGGGTTTAGGGTTTAGGGAGTTTAGGGAGCGAAGGAAGTGGAGGGAAACTTATAGGGTTTATGGCGTTTAGAGGGGCTTGGGGGTTTCTACGGGTTTTTAGGGTTTAGGGTTTACAGGGTCTAGGAGTCTAGGATTAAGGGTTTGCTTTTAGGGTTCAGGAATTTGGGCTAGAAAGGCCTCAAAGACCTGAACCTCTTTCCCCCCTTTCTTGAGGTGCGAGAGTGAGAGAAGCTATTAACTTGCATTGAACAAAACAAGCCGAAACCCATACCGCACAAACTCCTTAGCACGGCCCCTGATGAACCCCTAAACCCTAAACCCTAAACCCTAAACCCTAAACCACTCCGGCCCAGACACCGGAGTTCCCAGAAAGGTGTACGTCTTCCGGAGCACGAAGCGCGCAAAGCCCAGGTCGCAGATCTTGGCGTAGCCCCTGCCCACGGTTTAGGGTTTAGGGTTTAGGGTTTAGGGTTTCGGGTTTGGGGTTTAGGGTTTAGGGTTTAGGGTTTAGGGTTTAGGGTTTAGGGTTTGGGGGTTTAGGGTTTAGGGTTTAGGGTTTAGGGTTTAGGGTTTAGGGTTTAGGGTTTAGGGTTTAGGGTTTAGGTTTTAGGGTTTAGGGTTTAGGGTTTAGGGTTTAGGGTTTAGGGTTTAGGTTGGGATGTTCCCCCTTATACTAACAGTCCTTAATAGGGAATAAAAGCGGGTACTAGAACCCCTAATAAGGACTGCTGGTATAAGTGGGAACATCCCAAGGTTCAGAGTTTGAGGGACCTCAGGGTTTATGACTTTGGGGTTTAGGATGTTAAGGTTTAGGGCTTGCAATTTAAGAAGACCGAATCCAGTACTCCCTGTTCTGTTAAAGCAGGGGCCCTAAGCTGCAAGGAATCTTCCTTACTTACGAGGCATGGTGGTCTCGAAGACCACCCCCCCACCCTCCCGGCAGCTTGGGCTTAGGGCGTAGGGCTTCGAACCCCAAACCCTACACGGAGGTTCATGAGCAATTATACCCCCAATAACAAGTCTACTTCTAACCTACTTTCAAAACATAGGGGGCTTACAAGTAGTAAGCCCTCAGCCCTCCCCCCACGACAGCTGCCTAAACCTAACACCTAAACTATCCAAACCATCCGAGGTTCCCAAACCCGAAGAATCCTAAAGACCTAAACCCTTATAAGCTGTAATGTAAACACCCTATACACCCGATAAACCCGATAAACTTTACCATAAACCCTATAAACCCTGAAAGCGCATGTGCCCTTTTCCATTAACACCTGAACCAGAGAGGCACTTCTGCACGTGGGTCCCCTGGAACCCTAAACCCCTTTGCAGCGCCACCTCGTAAACGGTTTGCTGATAAACTCTGATAAGCAGTATAGGGTTTAGATCAGCGCCTTACCCTCATACAGCCCAACCCCAAACCCGTAAACCCGTAAACCTTAAACCCTAAACCCCCAAACCCTAAACCCCAAACCCTAAACCCTAAACCCCAAACCCTAAACCCGGAACCCCAAACCCTGAACCCCCGAACCCTGAAGCCCCAAATCCCCAAATCTTCGAGACCAGCGGCCTCAAGTCCAGCAGCACGTTGCCAGGCTTCAGGTCTCCTGGGTCTGATAAGTATTAAGGTTTAGGGTTTAGGGTTTAGGGTTTAGGGTTTAGGGTTTAGGGTTTAGGGTTTAAGGTTTAGGGTTTAGGGTTTAGGGTTTAGGGTTTAGGGTTTAGGGTTTAGGGTTTAGGGTTTAGGGTTTAGGGTTAAGGGTTTAGGGTTCCCCGAACCCTAAACTCGAAACCCTAAACCCGAAAACCCCGAAGCCCTAAACCCTAAACTGAGCTGAGAGTTTAGCGGATGAGGGCTCCAGGGTTTTGGGGTTTGGGGGTCTAGGGTTTCGGGCTTTGGGCTTCAAGGGTTTAGGGTTATGGGGTTATAGTGTTTTGGGGTTTTGGGGGTGTTCGGGTTTTGGGATTGCGGGGTTTTGGGGTGTTGGGTTTTGAGGTTTTGGGAAGGGCCTGTTAGGGGGTTTTAGGGTTCAGGGTTCAGGGTGCAGGGTTCAGGGTTTAGGGTCTAGGGTCTAGGGTCTAGGGTCTAGGGTTTAGGGTTTAGGGTTTAGGGTTTAGGGTTTAGGGTTTAGGGTTTAGGGTTTAGGGTTTAGGGTTTAGGGTTTAGGGTTTAGGGCTACTGCTTGCAGCTGCGCTGCGATGTGCGATCTTCCGCTCGTGGAGGTGGCCCAGTCCCTCCACGATACATGCGGCGTAGAAGGAGAGCTCCTGGCCCGAAGCCGCAACTGAGAAGTTTAGGGTTCAGGGTTTAGGGTTTAGGGTTCAGGGTTCAGGGTTTAGGGTTTAGGGTTTAGGGTTTAGGGCTTAGGGTTTAGGGTTTAGGGTTTAGGGTTTAGGGTTTAGGGTTTAGGGTTTAGGTTTTAGGGTTTAGGGTTTAGGGTTTAGGGTCTAGGGTCTAGGGTTTAGGGTTTAGGGTTTAGGGTTAGGGCTACCGGATTGCTCGTTTGGGGTCCGGCTCCATTTTCGAAAGCTTCGGCGTCGCCCGACGCGACAAATCGCTTTCTCGCCTAGGTTCCGTGTGCATTCTGTGGCCCATGTCGGGCGCTGGCCTCAGTCCCGCCCCATCGCGCAGTGTCGAGCAACCAACCGTGTCGGCCCCTTGCACAGAACTGCCGCTGCCCCCATGGTTTGGGACTTTGGGGTGTTCCCCCTTGTCCTTAACTGGATTAGAATGCCCACTACAATAATCCATCTTAAGCACTCTCAGTATAAGGGGGAACATCCCAACCCATGGTGCTCTTGCAGAGCTGTTGAGGGAGGTTCGTCTTAGATGTCTTGAAGCCTGGCACTGTGTGGCGACTGCGCCGGCACAAGCTATTCGGGTGTAGAAGGGAGCCTTATGCAACAAAAAAGGAAAGACCCACGTAGACCCCACGCTGCGTCCCAGGTTTTGGCTGTACACTCGCGGCGAAGCGCCCAAAACCTGATGGTGTTCCAAACCCAAGAAACCGACAGCCTAGACCCCAGACCCGCAACCCGAAAGGCAGATGTAATCCCTGAACCCGAACCCTAAATCATCACTCCGAAACCCCGAAATCCCGAAACCCCGAAGTCCCGAATCCCCGAAATCCCGAAGTCCCGAATCCCCGAAACCCCGAAACCCTAAACCCTAAACTCCTAAACCCCTAAACCCTAAACCCTAAACCCTAAACCCATCTCCTCAGACCACTGCCGCATGCTGGCGGAGGGGTTCGCCCTCCGATGGCCAATGACATCTTCCAGGGATCCGCCCTCCGCGGCTTCGATGAGCATGTACCTTTTCAGGGGGATGAAAGCTAGGGTTTAGGGTTTAGGGATTAGGGTTTAGGGTTTAAAGTTTAGGGTTAGGGTTTCGGGGTTTTCGAGGTTTAGAGGCTTAGAGGTTTGGGGCTTTGGGGTTTTGGGGTTTAGGGATTTGGGGGCTTCAGTTTTGTCACAATTTTGGGAATCCTAAGTATAGAGAGTCGCACGAGAAAAGCGACCTCCATTTGGTGACATCACTTTCCGCGGACCATCAGAGTTCTCAGGCTTAGGGTCTGGGGCCCTCGGGAGTCTTTTTGCGTCTCATGCTGCGAGGCCCTCTGTACGTGGTGCAGATACCCAACCCTGCTAAGCCCTAAGCCCTAAGCCCCTAAGCCCTAAACCCTAAACCCTAAACCCTACACCCTCAACCCTAACCCTAAACCCTTCAAGCTTGCAGGTCAGGCAGCACAAACAGCCTGTCCCGGTAGGAGGCGTGGAGGTGTACGATGAACGGGCTGTTCACCTGTAGTAAGTGCCAAAGTGCGCAGAGGCTGGAACATGTACTGGCTGCTTTCACCTGCTGTGTTTCTTGGTTGCCTTCTTCAGGTTTTGACTCATTGACACATGCCGGTTGCTGCCATGGATTCTGATGTATGCTGCTGATCTACTCCCACTGCTGCCTTTGCGTTCCAGCAACCCGCCTTAAACCCTGAACAGACCCTGAAGCCCAAAACCTTATCCCTCAAGCTGGGCGGCCATGGCGTGCAAATTCCGCTCGTTCCGTATGTGCAGCTCCACGCCGTTCAGGCGGATGCCTGGTTCGGGCTTTCGGCTTCGGGCAATTTAAGGATCTTTAAGGACTAGGGATGAAGTAGCCTCTCTCGCCACTTCACGGATAAACGGTTCACGTCTCTCACAACCTAAGCCCGAATCCCGACAGCCTGCAGGAAACAAATGAGCCCTGGCCAAACCCTAAGCCCAAGATCCAAAAAGCCCCCAAACCCAACAAGAAAACCAACAAACCCTGAACCCTAAGCCCTAACACCGTAAACTCCCGTAGACTCTACACATTATAAGCCATAAACCCTAGACAATAACACCCTAAACCCTACACCCCAAGCCATCAACCCTAAACATTAACAGGACTCAAGGCCCCAGGACCCCAAGCGGGAACAGCCATGTACAGGTCCTGACCTCTGTCTCTGACAACAGGGAACCCAAGACACCTTAACTAAGATTTAGGGGGACTGGGTTATAGGGTTCTTAGGTGCTCAGGTGTTTAGGCTTTCGGGTTTCGGGTGCAAACTCCACAACCCCAGAAGAGCCCTACAGCAAGGTTATGGCGCAGCTCTACCCTTCTTGTCGAATTGCGCTTCGCGTAACTGGCTGGTTATGAGTAGGGAATGAGGGAATGAGGGCCCTGTATGATCACTGTAAGGGATTGTATAAGACCTCATTCCCTCATTCCCTGGTACGCCTACTCCCCGAAGCCCGAAACCACGGAGAGGCCCAACAAACAGTTCCGGCGCCTCGTTTGGAAATCTGCTTGAGGGCATACTTCTTGCCAGTTGCTGGGTCTTGCTGCAGGATGACCTGTTCCAGGAAACCGACACCCTGCTTAGAGTATCTGATAGCACCAGGCACGCAGCTGTGAGAGACTCTTGAAAGCTGACCCAGGACATTTGCCTAGCTACGTCCTTGATACAAAGCATAGACTGTATATAAGGAAGATACAACCAATACAAAGCTACATAATGGCATGTGTATCAATTCATATATATATATATATTCTCTTTATACAACTTCATTGTATATCATGCAAATATTTGTAGATGTTCATATATACGTATTCAGTTGTAACAGTCACGTGTTACGTATACTTGATGATCGAACCCCAAACAGCCCGAACCGAACCCTGGATCAAGGCCTCTCCCTGTTCAAGCCCATGTCACCAAGCTCGATGACCCTAGGCCTCAACCTTTGAGCACCCCAAAAAAGGTTCAGGGTTTAGGGTTGAGGGTTGAGGGTTTGGGGTTAAGGGTTTGGGGTTTGGGGTTGAGGGTTTAGGGAGCCTAAACCCTCAACCCTAAACCCTAAACCCTAAACCCTAAACCCCCAAACCCCAAAACCCCAAAGCCCTAAAAACCCCCAGGGCCTTGCCGAAGGAGCCCTGGCCAAGGACCTTGACGCACCTCGGAACAGTCGCTGGAAAAAGAGAGAGAAGGAGAGAGAGAGAGAGAGAGACAGAGAGAGAGAGAGAGAGAGAGAGAGTCAGGGTTTCGAGCTTCGGATTTCGGATTTTAGGGTTTAGGGATGTAGGGTTCAGGGACAGACTGCGACTGATGCGTGGGTCCGAGAGAGCCCGTACCTCACAAGCGCAATACGTACCTGTCATGAGGGCGACGGCAGTGGCCCTAAACCCTAAACCCTAAACCCCTAAACCCTATAAACCCTACGAAACCCTATACCGCCGGACGCTCTTAAGCACAAAGAGCCCTAAACCAACAAATCCCTTCCTAAGCAGCCCTCAACCCCAAACCCTAAACCCTAAACCCCAAACCCTAAACCCTAAACCCTAAACCCTAAATCCCTTCCCAAGAAGCCCTCTGCCCCTTCCAGATCTCAGGTGGCATGGGCCTCCAGGGTTTTAGGGCTTCGGGTACGAGGTTTGGAGTTTAGGGTTTAGGGTTTAGGGTTTAGGGTTTAGGGTTTAGGGTTTAGGGTTTAGGGTTTAGGGTTTAGGGTTTAGGGTTTAGGGTCTGGGGGTTTAGGGTTTAGGAGTATAAGTTGAGGGTTTAGGGTTAGGTGACCCCGAACCCACAGGTCCTGAACCCCTGCTGGTTGCTAGTAGGGAGTGAGAGAATCAGAAGCCCTGTGTATTCTCTTAAAGGGCACATATATATATATGGTCACCCCCCCCCCCTCGACAGACCCCGGAATTGTATTTCCGATCTGTCCAGGAAGCGGGGGGGGGGGGAAGAGCACCACTCCAAAATTCCTCGAGTTTCCAAAAATCCAAAACTCCAAAAAAACCCAACCCAAGTTTCGGATTTTTGGAAACTCGAGGAATTTGCTCAAAATCCAAAAAAACCCAAAATTCCTCGAGTTTCCAAAATCCAAAAATCCAAAAATCCCAACCCAAGTTTCGGATTTTTGGAAACTCGAGGAATTTGCTCAAAATCCAAAAAAACCCAAAATTCCTCGAGTTTCCAAAATTCCAAAAATCCAAAAATCCCAACCCCAGTTTCGGATTTTTGGAAACTCGAGGAATTTGCTCAAAATCCAAAAAAACCCAAAATTCCTCGAGTTTCCAAAATTCCAAAAATCCAAAAATCCCAACCCCAGTTTCGGATTTTTGGAAACTCGAGGAATTTGCTCAAAATCCAAAAAACCCAAAATTCCTCGAGTTTCCAAAAATCCAAAAATCCAAAAATCCCAACCCAAGTTTCGGATTTTTGGAAACTCGAGGAATTTGCTCAAAATCCAAAAAAACCCAAAATTCCTCGAGTTTCCAAAAATCCGAAACTGGGGTTGGGATTTTTGGATTTTTGGAATTTTGGAAACTCGAGGAATTTTGGGCTTTTTTGGATTTTGAGCAGATTCCTCGAGTTTCCAAAAATCCGAAACTGGGGCTGGGATTTTTGGATTTTTGGAATTTTGGAAACTCGAGGAATTTTGGGTTTTTTTGGATTTCGAGGCTCCCGCTCGAGTTTCTAAAAATCCAAACCTTGGGGTGGAATTTTTGGATTTTGGGAATTTTGGAAACTCGAGGAATTTTGGGTTTTTTTGATTTTGAGCAAATTCCTCGAGTTTCCAAAAATCCGAAACTGGGGTTGGGATTTTTGGATTTTTGGAATTTTGGAAACTCGAGGAATTTTGGGTTTTTTTGGATTTTGAGCAAATTCCTCGAGTTTCCAAAAATCCGAAACTTGGGTTGGGGTTTTTGGATTTTTGGAAACTCAGGTTTTGGTGAGATTCTTTTAGGGGTTCTACACTCATGAGAAATATGAAATTGGAAACTCGAGCGGGAGCCTCAAAATCAAAAAATCGAGCAAATTCCTCGAGTTTCCAAAATTCCAAACCTTGGGGTGGATTTTTTTGGATTTTTGGAATTTTGGAAACTCGAGGAATTTGCTCGATTTTTGGATTTTGAGGCTCCCGCTCGAGTTTCCAAAAATCCAAACCTTTGGGGTGGATGTTTGGATGTTTGGGTTTTTGGATTTTTAGAAACTGGATTTTTGATAAGAGTTTTTCAGGGGTTCTTATATGATTCCTTATTATGTTTTAGGCTGCCTGTTAAATTTAATAATACTCCTGTTCACTTTAACGGGAGTCCTTATTTAATTAACAAGACTCCTAATCATTTTACTAGCATTCTAAGTGATTTTCAATGGCAATGGGATTCCTGTATTTGTTTAATGGGGTTCGTATTAGATTTTAAAGGATGCCTGTTAAAGGACTTTATTGGGTTTAATATTGATTCCTATTCATTTTAATCAAATGCCAAATAATTGGAATACGATTCTGAGTAATTGTAATAACATTCTTCTTCCTAGTTAGTTTTAATAAAAGTCTTCGAAATTTAAAAAGCTTCATAACAAATTTTATACATATTCCTATTAATTTCAATAGGCTTCTTATTCATTTTCATAAGATGTCTTACAATTTCTAATTGGGTTCCTTTTGCTTTGACAAGCTTCCTATTCATTTAAAAGGCTTCTGATTAATTGGAATAGGCTTCGTATTCATTTTAACAGGGTTGCTCATTCATGTTGACAGGATTCCAAATAATGTTCATAGGATTCCTACTAGATTCCACAGTGCTCCTATTATATTTTTAAATCCTGTTCCCTATTCATTTCAATTGGACTCGAAGTAATGTTATTGTAACTCTCATTTGTTTTTTTAGCAATCCTGTTAATTAAATGTTTTAATAGTGTTTATTATCATTCTCACAGTACGACTCTTAGTGTTTTAAGTTTTGAAGGGTCCACATTACTTTTTTTTATAAAATTTTATTGGCTCCTCTTAATCCTTTAAAAGGATTCATCTTCATGTTACACGGATTCCTGTTACTCTTAAAGAGAATTCATAGATTCTTTTGTAGGGTTCCTATTAATTTTAATAGCATTCCTATGAATTCAAAAGGGTTCCTATTCATTTGAATGGCCTTCCTATGGTTCCTCTGAATTTAGGACGCCAAGAAATTTTAATAGGAGCTTCTACGTATTTCAACCAGGTTCTTATTAATTGTACTAGGATTCTTACTAAGTTTTCAAAAAAGACTCGTCTTAATTTCAATAGGGTTCTCATTCATTTTAATGGGGTTCCTATTGATTTAAATAGGATTCCTATTGAACTCATACGAAGCCTATGAATCCTAATAAACTTAGTAGGAACCCAAGTAAAACTAAGAGCAACCTTATTAAAATTAATAGCAATCCACGATGTCGAGCAAATTGTTCAGGTCCTTACAGCATGCGCCCTACTCACATCTGTCTGCATCTTTCATTGCGAACACAAAGCCGTACTAATCGAAAAAAATATGCTCTATTGTGTGTTAACGTGTCTGGCTACTGTGTGCAGCTATGCTGTCCGTCGCGCCCTCAGCCTTTTTTTCGCTTCCGGGGTCTGTCGAGGGGGGGGGGGTGAGCATATATATATATATATAGTACACAAATACATCTATTTCTCTATACATATGGGGGGGGGATATCGGGTACCTAATTCCACCAGGCGGTGAAGGGCATCAAGGTGAGAAAGGCCCCCGCTTGAGCGTCGAAGGGTTCACGGCATATCGCTCCTGGCAGCTGGGGCAAACTTCCCCCGGTTTAGGGTTTAGGGTTTAGGGTTGAGGGTTAGGGTTTAGGGTTTAGGGTTTAGGGAACACAAAACTGTTTCCAAAACTGCGGTGAATGCTGCTTGTTTTTTTTTTGCTTTTTTGTTTTTTTGGGGGACGACGCCTTAATATCCCTCATACACATCCTCAGCCCCACCCCAAGGCCCCTAAGCTCCAAATGGGCATTTCTCAAAAGAGGGGTGCCCTTTTTCTACCTCCTCTAGAATAGAAACCCCTCAAAAGGGACCAAAGGGTACCCCCATTAACCCGAACCCTAACCCCTAACCCCTAAATCCTAAACCCCTAAACCCCTAAACCCCTAAACCCCTAAACCCCTAAACCCCTAAACCCCTAAACCCCTAAACCCCTAAACCCTTAAACCCCTAAACCCCTAAAGCCTAAACCCTAAACCCTAAACCCTAACCCCAAATCGCTGTTCCTGCCAGCCGGTAGGCTTGAGAGTGCAGACGTCCTGGCCGAGGTTCTCGGGCGCGTGGGGCGGAGAAGAAAGTGGGGTTTAGGGCGCGTTGGGAGGTTTATGGGGGTCTGCGGGGTTTAGGGGGCTTTGAGAGGTTTATGGGAGTATAGGGGGCTTTGGGAGGTTTATGGGGGTTTAAGGGGTTTAGGGGCCTTTGGGAGGTTTATGGGGGGGGGGCTTTGGGAGGTTTATGGGAGTTTAGGGTGGTTTATGGGGGTTTAGGGGGTTTTGGGTGACTTAGGGGGTTTAGGGGGTTTAGGAGGTTTAGGGGGTTTATGGGCGTTTATGGGGGTATATGGGCGCTAAGGGCTTAGGGTGGTTTATGGGGGTTGAGCTGGTTGAGGGCTGAGAGGGTTTGCAGAATTTCAAGGGCGTTTAACGCTGATTTGCCGCAAGCATACTGGTCCAACTTCCTGGCTCCTGGCCCGGAAGTAAAGGTCAACCTTTGGGTCCATTGCGATCTATATATATATATATGTATATACATATATGTATACCTCTGCCCCAAAGCATACAAAAATCATCAACAAAAGACTAAACTCCAAATGCGTAAACCCCAAACCAACACCTGAATCCCCTGCACCAACGAGAAGCCACGGGGCCTGCTCCATGCACTCTAGACCGGCGAAGGCATCTAGGCCCAGACTTTTGAGGACCTCCGGCGAAGTGTGGGTTTAGGGTTTAGGGTTTAGGGTTTAGGGTTTCGGGTTTCGGGTTTGGGGTTTAGGGTTTAGGGTTTAGGGTTTAGGGTTTAGGGTTTAGGGTCCTTAAACCCTAAACCCCAGTTGCTCCAAGACCCAGATGGACCAAAAACCGCGGCTTTCAGGGCTTGGGCCTTGGGGACTTGAGGCAGGTTGGGGATTTTGGGGCTTGTTGGCTAAAGTAAATATTGGGGTTTAAGGGAAGTTGGGCATCAGAAACCCGAAGCCCCAAACCCCACCTCGATGTCGATGCAAAGGCACGTCAAGCCAGAACGACCTACATGGTCGGCAATGGGTCGGAAGGACTTTAGCCCTAGAACCCCAAAGCCCTTGAACCCTACTACACCCTCAAATGCTTGCAAGGCATACTTCTCCAACATCCCCGAATACGAATTTGAACCAGGGTTCTTTCACTAAGCCAAAGGTGACATTCAATGTTGTTCCAATTTGGTACCCAACCCTAAACTCTGAATCTTTAGGGTTAAAGGTTCAGGGTTCAGGGTTTAGGGTTTAGATTCGGGCTTAGGGTTTAGGGTTCAGGGGATTGTCTTTCAAGTGTCGAGGTGCTCCGGGATGGGTGCTCCGGGATGGGTTAGTCGGTTGTTGTTGAGAAGTTTCAAAGGTGTTTGATAGTTGGGCGCCCTACACCCTGAAAAGCACCCTGATCCCCAAACCCTACACCCTTCAAGCGCCAAAAGTCCCTCAACCTCCCTGAACCCTAAAACCTAAACCCTGAAACCGGCAACCCGACCCCAAACCCCAAAAATCCGAAACCACCAAACCCTCAACCCCAGGATTCCCAAACCCTGAAACCCTCAACCCCAAAACCTAAACCCTAAACCCTAAACCTAAGCCCTGCAACCCTCAACCCCAAAACCTCTTAGCCCATACGGCGCCCTGAAAACCCTCTGCCCGGTGCCTGCGTTTACTGTGACGACGTTGAATTCCTGCAACACCCCGTGCTTCGGGTTTAAGGTTAAGGATTTCTTGGGCTACCCTAAACCCTAAACCCTAAACCCTAAACCCTAAACCCTAAAAGGGTTTGAGTGGCACTGGGGCAAGTACCTCAAGGCCGCCCTAGAGACCCTGAAGCCCGAACACTCCCTCTCCGAAGACCAAAGGCCCTAAAAGTAGGTACCCTATAGAATCCCATCAAGGGTATAGGGTTTAGGGTTTAGGGTTTAGGGTTTAGGGTTTAGGGTTTAGGGTTTAGGGTTTAGGGTTTAGGGGTTAGGGCTTAGGGCTTAGGGTTTAGGGTTTAGGGTTTAGGGTTTAGGGTTTAGGGTTTAGGGTTTAGGGTTTAGGGTTTAGGGTTTAGGGTTTAGGGGTTAGGGGTTAGGGTTTAGGGTTTAGGGTTTAGGGTTTAGGGTTTAGGGTTTAGGGTTTAGGCCTTAGGGCTTAGGGTTTAGGGTTTAGGGTTTAGGGGTATATATATATATATACACATATATATAGGGCCCTACTTCTCTCATTCCCTACTAAGAACCCCTGTGACAGTCCGCAATAGAGGTTATCAAAGGGGGCGGGGTACTATGATCCCGATTAAGGACTGTTCGTATCAGGGGGAACATCCCCTAAACCCTAAACCCTAAACCCTCAGCCCTCAACCCTCAACCCTCAACCCTAAACCCTAAACCCTGAACCAAAACTCGAAAAGCAAAAAACAACAAGGAGAGAGTCCTGCTCTCGCCAAGCGGAGCGCTCGCCAAAATGGTCTCCGCGGCGCAGCTCACGGAGGTTCTTCCTCTGACTTAAGGGGTGTTTTTCATGGTCTAGGGTTGAGGATTTGGGGTTTAGGGTTTAGGGTTTAGGGTTTAGGGTTTAGGGTTTAGGGTTTAGGGTTTAGGGTTTAGGGTGACGCGTATTTTTGGGGTTTGGGGTTCAGGGTTTAAGGTCTGATCTACCATGGTAATCCTACTTGGTGCCTCTATTGTGTAGGAGAGTCCTTATGGCTCAAAGCTTAGGCTTCCCAGAATGTAGATGAGTTTCAACATGAGGATTTTTGTGGGCTCCATGGAGATTTAGCGTTGAGGGCCTAGGGCTGAGCGAGCGAAACCCTAACCCTAAACCCTAGACTCTTTCAAGCCTGGTCCAAGCGACCCTTTCTTGGAGACGAGGGCGCTGCCGCTGGCGACGACGTACCACTGTGGCGTCTTCCGGACGCGACCCTCCTGGGCGTTGAAGGTCTGCGCTTTTGGGGTCTAGGGCTTACAGTTTAATGATTAAGATTAGGGTTTAGGGTTTAGGGTTTAGGGTTTAGGGCTTAGGGCTTAGGGCTTAGGGCTCAGGGCTTAGGGCTTAGGGCTTAGGGCTTAGGGCTTAGGGCTTAGGGCTTAGGGCTTAGGGCTTAGGGCTTAGGGCTTAGGGCTTAGGGCTTCGGAAAGCGGTTTAGAGCTTGGGCTCAAAGGTTTAATGCTCACGGCATAAGGTTCAGGGTCCAGGGTTTCGGGTTGGGTGTCTGGGGAGCTTGAGTACTTAGCAATAGGTCCACCCTTAGTCTTTAGATGCTTGCAACACAACCCTAAACCTTAAACCCTAAACCCTAAACCCCAAACCCTAAACCCTAAACCCTAAACCCCTAAGCCCAACATGTCTATCCTGACCAAAACGGCCCCTTCACAGCTTCACAGGCGGATCCCTTGAAGGCTGTGTAGAGTACAGGGTGCGCCCTTCCCTAAATGCCTTGCTACTAGGGGTGGATACGGGGGGTACCAGAGTTCCCTAAACCCTAAACCCTAAACCCTAAACCCTAAACCCTAAACCCTTTCTTGATCCCCCACCTAAGGCAGTCGAGGCTCGGCGAGGATGCAGTGCCCCGCCTTGAACGTGATTTCACGCGTGGCGTTCCGCGCAAGATCCCTCCTGGCTGGCCGGTTTCGGGTTTAGGGTTTACGGTGTAGGGTTTCGGGTTTCGGGTTAGGGTTTAGGGTTTCAAGGGCCTAGCCTTATATGTTCCTGATATAGTCCGCACAAAAAAGTAGCCCCGAACGAGCCCCTACACTACCCCTCAGGTCTCTCATAAGGATCCTTCCTTAAGTTCCTCGAGTTTACGGTTTAGGAGGCCCGGACGCAACAGCCTGCAACACCTGAAGCCTGGACCCCCAAACCTATGACCCTGAACAATTGAACCTCGAAACCCTAAACCCCCAAGGTCTAGGGCTGGGTTTGGGGGTTTGGGGGTTTGGGGGTTTGGGGGTTTGGGGGTTGGGGGGTTTGGGGGTTTGGGGGTTTGGGGGTTTGGGGGTTTGGGGGTTTGGGGGTTTGGGGGTTTGGGGGTTTGGGGGTTTGGGGGTTTGGGGGTTTGGGGGCTTGAGGTTTTGGGGGTTTGGGGGTTTGGGGGCTTGGGGGTTTGGGGGTTTTGGGTTTTGGGGCTCGTGGTACAGAAACCTGGGAATTTGGCGCCCTCATCCTTTAAAGGGGTTTAAGGCTGAGGGTTTCTTAGGCTGAAACTCCTTTTCCTGGGTATCCAGCGCCCAACTCCCCACCTAATAAGCACTAGGCTAAGGGCTTAAGCTTTCTGATCGAGGGTCTACTGGGGCAGGTTTGGGGGTCCGATTACAAAAACACTGTAATGGCTTCATAAGGCTTACATGGGGGCTAAGGGCAAAAAATATGTTCAATCCCCAGTAAGTTTTGAGTGGGAGGATTGCAGGGCTAGGGTATTCAGGGTTTCGGGTGTTTTTGCTCTTGAGGGTCTCACTGCTTCAGGGTTTCTTCCCCGCTTTCCCCCAGGAGGTCCTTTCAGAATCCAGCAGGGAACTCAGAATCCGAACTTCCGCCAGCAGCGCCCCATATTTCCTGGGCTTGGAGCTCGTCACATGGAGATTTTGCCGAAAGTAGGGGTACCTTCTTGGGGTGCTGCTTATCAGGGAATCCTACTATTTGGCGGTCTATATGAGGGGCCCTTTATTTTCGCAAACTCCCACATGAAGAAAGTCTTTCGGAACCCTAAATCCTAAAGGGCAGAAACCCCGGAAGCCCTGAACTCGATAATCCTAAACCCTAAACCCCCAAAAACCCTACAATCCTAAACTTTCAAACCCCAAAAACCCTGAAGCCCCTAAGTACCCCAAACGCCCTCAACCCCTACCCGTAAACCCTAAACCCTAAAAACCCTACACCCTAAACCCGAAAACCCTAAGCCCTAAAACCGCAAAACCCTAAACCCTAAACCCTAAAACCGCAAAACCCTAAACCCTAAACCCCAAAACTCACCAGGTGTCTCTGCCTCCGCCATCTGGGCCTGCCTGGATCCAGCTGTCAACTCTCGGAGTTAAACAAGGTTGAGGGCTTTAGGGGCTTAGGGGCTTTAGGGGTTTTAGGGGCTGTAGGGGATTTAGGGGTTTTAGGGGTGTTAGGGGTTTAGGGCTAAGGGCTTAGGGTTTAGGGTTTAGTAGGGGTTTGGGGTTTAGGGTTTAGGGTTTAAGGCTTAGGGCTTAGGGCTTAGGGCTTAGGGGGTTGGGGTTTAGGGTTTAATTTAGAACAGTTTGCGGCTTCAGGGGGTTTGGGGCTCAGGGTTTTAGGCTGGTTAGGGTTTTGGGGTGTAGGGTTTAGGGGTGCGGGATGTAACATGTAGTGCGCAAGGTTTATGTAGGCTTTCTTTTAGGGTCGTACAGAGTTGAGTTGGAAGAATAGGCCTGTAATGCATGCGATTTCGACCGTATTCACGCTATAAGCAAAATTTCAGATCCTTCTCAGGGCTTAGGGCTTAGGGCTTAGGGCTTAGGGCTTAGGGCTCGGGGCTTAGGGCTTAGGGCTTCGGGCTTAGGGCTTAGGGCCTAGGGCTCAGGGCTTAGGGCTTAGGGCTTAGCGGGTTGGGGCTTGGGTCTTGGGTCTTGGGGCTTAGGGTTTAGGATTTCAAGCTTCAGCGCTTTAGGGGGAACAAGTAAGCCCTAACCCCTTAAACCCTAAACCCTAACCCCTAAGCCCTAACCCCTAAACCCCTAAAACCCCCAAAACCCCTAAGCCCCAAAACCCTAAACCCTCCCTTTGCCGCTTCCCTAAACCCTGCACCCTACACCCTAAACCCTACACCCTAAACCCTATACCCTAAACCCTAACCCCAACCCTAAACCCCTAAACCCCCAAAACAACCCAACCATCGGCCTGAAGAGGCACTCCTTAAAGTCGGAGCGGTTGATGGCGTACAGCAACCTCAGAGTCTCACTGATGCAGTGTTGATTGAGGCATAGGGTTTAGGGTTGAGGGTTTAGGGTTTAGGGTTTAGGGTTTAGGGTTTAGGGCATAGGGTTTAGGGTTTAGGGCCAGAACTGTGCTGCCGCCACGGAGCCCGAGTTAAGTTACCACAACGTAGATGTGGTTATGTGGTAGACATTATGGCTTAGTTACTGAGTTCATAAGCCCCCAAAAAAATGTACATTGTGAGTTTTGTAGACATTATAGTATCCCAACAAGTGTAAAGTGTACTCACTCAGATACGAAGATGGCGACCTTGTCATGGCAACTTGGTCTACCTTTCCTGAACAGCAACCCACGTAAGCCAGAAGACCCGGAGCTTGAACCTCCCTAACACCCCAACACTCTGAAGCACCCTAAACCCTAAGAAGTACAATCCTGAACTCCCTTCCCTCCTCCTAGCAAAAAACGAAGGCCTAAACCCCCGCAAACCTCTTCAGTCCTAAACCCTGAACCCCGAACCCTATGCCCTGAACTCCTAAACCCTAAACCCTAAACTCCCAAACCCTAAACCCTAAATTCCTAAACCCTAAACCCTAAACCCTAAACCCTGAACCCCAAACCCTAAACCCTGAACCCTCATGCGCTCTTGAGCCGACGCGGCAGCTCTTCCCGCCCAGCTTTGAAGGTGGCGAGGTGGCGGGTGTTGTACAAGAGCGCCACCTGAGGGTTTAGGGCTTAGGTGTTTAGGGGTTTAGGGTTTAGGGTTTAGGGTTTAGGGTTTAGGGTTTAGGGGTTTAGGGGTTTAGGGTTTCGGGTTTCGGGTTTAGGGTTCAGGGTTTAGGGTTTAGGGTTTAGGGTTTAGGGTTTAGGGTTCAGGGTTTAGGGTTCATGGTGCAATGTTCAGCAGCTCCGGATGGAGCAGTTCTAGTCGAGCGTGCAGAGCGTAGACTTCGACAAAAACCCAACCGCCCAAAGACTCCCATAACATTAAGAAAACAGAGGGTCTTCATTAACCTTTTACGCTTCAGCTGCTCAGTATTCCCTAAACCCTAAACCCTAAACCCTAAACATTAAACCCCTAAGTATCCCTTCAACAAAAGCAAAGCAAGCTAGCCTCGGAGGGACCCAATGGCGAATGACATTGGTCCCGAAGGGTCCGGATGGCTCAAAAGGTTTATATATATACGTTGGGGGTTCAGGGTTTAGGGTTTAGGGTTTAGGGTTTAGGGTTTAGGGTTTAGGGTTTAGGGTTTAGGTAGGGTTTAGGGTTTAGGGATAGAGAGGGTTTGGGGTTTAGGGTCTGGGGCTCGAGGGTTTAGTGCTTTGTGATGGGGTTTTGGGGGGCTTGGGGTCCCTGGCCTGCATACTGAACACAAAACCGCAAGAGGGCCCAGAAATGGTCTCCGTTGAAACCTACTCATACGTGCCTGCATAGTTCAGGAAGAAATTCAGCCCCAAAAACCGTGAAAAAAACCTACAGCCTAAGCCCTAAGCTCTAAACCCTAAACCCGAAACCGTAAACCCGAAACCCTAATCCCATTCATCGCGACCAAGGAAAAGATGAAACACACAAACGCCCCGCACCTCGCCATAGACGTCTCCGGACTGCAACTCTACGGTTGCCTGGTTTGGGGTTTACGGCTCAGAGGGTTTAGGGTTTAGGGTTCAGGGTTCAGGGTGTAGGGTTTAGGCCCTGGGGTGTCTGGATAGGCATTTTTGGATATGCGTTTTTGGAGCATGCATTTTTGGACATGCATTTTTTGATATGCATTTTTGGAACATGCGTTTTTGGACATGCGTTTTTGGAACATGCATTTTTGGATATGCATTTTTGGAAGATACATTTTTGGACATGCGTTTTGGGATGTGCTTTTTTGGGTTTGGGTATGCGTTTGTCTTTTTTTACCTTATTCGGAAATGGGCCTCATAAGTTTAGGGTTTAGGGTTAAGGTTTAGGGTTTAGGGTTTTAGGGTTTAGGGTTAAGGGTTTGGGGTTTAGGGTTTGGGGTTTGGGGTTTGGGGTTTGGGGTTTGGGGTTTGGGGTTTGGGGTTTGGGGTTTGGGGTTTGGGGTTTGGGTTTGGGGTTTGGGGTTTGGGTTTGGGTTTGGGGTTTGGGGTTTGGGTTGGGGGTTTTGGGGTTTGGGGTTTGGGCCTTGGGGTTTGGGGCTTGGGGCTTGGGGCTTTGGGGTTTGGGGTTTGGGGTTTGGGGTTTGGGGTTTGGGGTTTGGGGTTTGGGGTTTGGGGTTTGGGGTTTGGGGTTTGGGGTTTGGGGTCTGAGGCCAGACGCTTGGAACTTGGGGCTTAGGGTTTCGGCTTTGGAGTTTAGGGTTTTTGGGGTTTTACGGCTAGGGTTGAGGGACGTGGCCCAAAGAAACCCTGTAGCCATTTAAAGAAGTTTCAACCCCCAAAATAGATGAGGTTCACATCATGTTGAAGCTCACCTTGCACCCTAGACCCTAAACCCTAAACCCTAAACCCTATACCCTAAACCCTACACCCTCTCTCTTACCTATTTTGAAGGAAATTTTGAACAATCGCACCGGTGTTTTTCGGATATTGAACAATCGTGCCTCCGGTGTTGTTTTTCAGATTTTCGGTCAATCGGCACCGGTTGTTTTTGTCAGATTTTGAATAAATTTGGGCCCCGGGTGTTTTTTGCTTTTTTCAATTTTCGGCCAATCGGCACCGGTGTTTTCAGATCTTGAACCATCGGCACTGGTGCTCTTCAGCATTTGAACAATTGGGGCAGCCACCCCAGCAAGGAGGTTAAGGGTTTAGGGTTTAGGGTTTAGGGCTTAGGGTTTTGGGATTGGCACCCCCGAACCCGAAAACCCAAACCGCCAAAGAACGCCCTCCCCGAATACCAGCGACGTGGCGCCTCGTCCCTCGCCAGGCTTAGGTCGCTGTTGTTGTAGATGTTCACCCCCTTCCTGAGACAATATAGGGGACTATGAAATTTAACAAGGGCCTTTGGTGAAGTTGAGATTGCTATGGGGATGATGGTAAGGGGATAACTGGATAAAGATGCAGGCTCCTGCATTCAGGTTAGGATTCAGAGTGCAGGCGTGATTAAGGATCACCCTCCCAAAGAAACTGCTGAGCATCCCTAAACACTGTACCCTAAACCCTAAACCCCAAACCCCCAACCCTAAACCCTAAACCCCAAACCCTAGACCTCAAACCGCTTCTTCTCTTCAGCTGCGGCCCGGCGGCGATGGAAAGGACACGACCACGCGGGAGTGGTCTAGGATGGCCTGCGACCAAACTTGGAGGTTCATGGTGCCTTATGAACCCATGATGAACCGTACTTATAGGGGTTTAGGGTTTAGGGTTTAGGGTTTAAGGTTTAGGGTTTAGGGTTTCGGGTTTCGGGTTTAGGGTTTAGGGTTTAGGGTCTTGGTTTAGGGTTGGTTTAGGGCTTACAAGGGCTGACAGGCTTTCAGAACCCAAAAAGAGCCCCTGAAAGCCTTGAAACGGAGAAGGAAGCTTCCCCCCGCGCCTCCACTCGACCCACCTCCGCCTCAACTTCCAGGGAAGTGCTGGACTTCCGCCGGTTGCCCAGCAATGGAGAGCCCGTAAGGCCTGAGCCCGCAATGCCTTTAAATGTTACGAAGTGCTTCTTCTCCCGCACGCGCTCGCCCACGTACAGCAGCTGCTCGCCCGTGTAGTCAATGGTGTTCACTCTGAACAGGCGGTTCTTTCCTTTCTTGTCCTCCAATGACAGAGGGAGGGGAGGAAGAGGACAGATTTGGAGACTGGGCAGCTCTTTGATGCGTTGGAAAGCTAGGCCGCTGAGCTGTTTTGATATGTTTTCCCACACTGCTGTCTGTGCATATGAATGTATGCCTATAGCCATGTCCGAAAAATAGGGGGACCCCTTGTGCACCCCAAAGTTCTATATAATCCTTTTAAAGGAACCGCCCAAGAAGGGTACCCTCTTTTCGGAAACCCCCATATGCAGGTGTCCTTTTTTGGTATCTGACAGCACAGAGAGCGTGAGACCAGCTGTGAGGTTCCAGAAGGCACGTTGGCTAACTACGTGATACCCCCCCTAAACCCCGAAGCCCGAAACCCTAGACCCCCGAACCCCCCTTAACCCTAATCCCAAATCCCAAATCCGACCCTAAACCCTAAACCCTAAACCCTAAACCCTGAGCCCTAATCCTACCTTCACCCAAACAAAAGAAACGCCCGCGGTCCCCACGGCGCGGGGTTCGGGCGCTGGCTTCGTCGTCTAGAAGCTCCTGGAGACCTGTTCATAGGGTTCTTAAGGACGGGGGCGGTTCAAGGGGTTTCGGGTTTAGGGTTTAGGGTTACGGGTTTAGGGTTTATTTAGGGGCGGGGTTCCCTTATGCTCCCCACTACTCCCCAAGGATCCTAAGCTTCCTTGATAGGTACCTACCCCCCATGAACCCCCCTCCCTTAAGAACCCCATAACCTGTCCATGGTGAGAGCCCCGAACTTTTAGGGTTTAGGGCTTTAGGGTTGAGGGTCTTGGGGTTTAGGGTTTAGGGTTTAGGGTTTCGGGGTTTTGTGTTTAGTTCGAAATTTGGCTTCCATGCCTTGCACGTCTGTTACATCGGGCTCTATGAGCGAAGCTTCTGTAAAGGGGACCCCGATAGGCTTTGGGGTTTGAGGGGGTGTCGAGTTCTTGAAGCTAGACACCGGAGACGGCGCTCAAGCCACAACAAAAAACATGTCCAACTTACCCGGGATAAAAGATAATAAAAAACACATAAAATATAGAAATAAAAACGACTTGAAGCCGGAAATCAAAACTTTCGAGGGCTCGGCCCTAGCTGAAGCTTTCTCAAAAGCCAGGCCGTTTAAGCCGTTCTCAAGGGCTCTGCGAGGTGCCTTGTAGAACCCCTTAAAAGGGGTACATGGTACTTACTAACCAATTATAACTGTACTTATAACCCTACTGATAAGTGGGATAACCCCTCTAAGGCCCTTTAGGGGTATTATAAGTAGGGTTATAAGTACAGTTATAATTGGTTAGTAAGTACCATGAACCTTCAAGTAGAGGGGTACATGTAGGAGAAGACAAGTACCTGGTTCCCCCATTCCCTCTAAGAACCGGTAGGGAGGCCAATGTTGCGGGGCTGCGGACAACTCCTATATTCTGCTCTTTCGGGCCTAGGGCTTAGGGCTTAAGAGCTCTCCGAGTTCTCCGCGGACAAAGACCCTAAACCCTAAATCCTAAACCCCCTAAACCTCCTTTAACCTAACCCCTTAAACCCTAAACCCTAAACCCTAAACCCTAAACCCTAAACCCTAAACCCTAAACCCTAAACCCTAAACCCTAAACCCTAAACCCTAAACCCTAAACCCGAGCCTTTCTTCTCCTCCTGGTAGACCATCGAGCCGCCCTTCTTCCGGCGGATCTTCGACCGCATGCCTCACACGCGCTTGGAAGCGGGCCTTGAGTTGAAGGCTTTGGGGGGTTTAGGGGGGTTTTGGGGGTTTTGGGGGTTTTGGGGGTTTTGGGGGGGTCTAGGGGGGTTTAGGGGGGGTTTTGGGGGTTTTGGGGGGTTTAGGGGGTTTTGGGGGTTTTGGGGGGTTCGGGGGTTTGGGGGCTTTTGGTGGTTTTGAGGGTGTTGAGTTGAAGGCTCCTTAAGAGGGTATGGGGTTTCAGGGTTTAGGGTTTAGGGTTCTTGGTTTAGGGTTTAGGGGGTTTAGGGCATTTAGGGCGTTTAGGGGGTTTAGGGCGTTTACGGCGTTTAGGGCGTTTAGGGCGTTTAGGGCGTTTAGGTTGTGTAGGGCGTTTAGGGCAGGGTGTGTAGGGCGTTTAGGGCGTTTAGGGCGTTTAGGGCGTTTAGGTTGTGTAGGGCGTTTAGGGCGTTTAGGGTGTGTAGGGCGTTTCGGGCGTTTAGGGCGTTTAGGCGTTGAGGCGCTAAGGCGTGCCAGGCCCGAAGCGCGGCTGCTTGCCGCCCACCCGACCCACACCGTGTTCGTGGCGTGCTGATACAAGGGATAACCGAGGGGGATATGATAGCCCTAGGCTCTCGGCCTCAGATCCGACTTAAACCCGAAGCCCTAAACCCTAATGGCCGGCGCCGCGCCTACTTTTGCGTCCTCTTTCAGGGACTTGGCTAGGTCGTTGGACACGCACTTGTCGTCCCCTCCGCGCATCATGTCCTGGCCAGGCTCTCGAGTCCCTAAGCCCGACAAGCAAGCAACTAAGACGAGGCCGTCGGCTTAGGGTTTAGGGTTCAGGGTTCAGGGTTCAGGGGGGTATAGGGTTTAGGGTTTAGGGTTCAGGGTTCAGGGTTCAGGGTTCAGGGTTCAGGGTTCAGGGTTCAGGGTTCAGGGTTCGAGTCTAGTTTAGGGTTTGGGGTTTAGGGTTTAGGGAGTTTAGAGCCGACTCAATGGGGTACGAGTCAATAGAAAGGAGTAAAAAGCAGGTGAGACGGCGCTGCCAAAGACCCCATCTTCCAATCCCCAAAGCAAACAAAAGGAGAACTGGAGGTCTCCGATGCTTGTAATGGTCTCTTTGACGCACCAAAAGCAGAATGCCCCTCAGCAATGCTGCGCCCTCAGCCGAGAAACCGTTCAAGCCCCGCACTCCCCAACAGAATCTGTGAGCCCCGGACGCTTCGACCAACCTGAAGCCCTCAACCCCCTAACTCGAAGCCCTCAACTTGTGGGCCGCTGGGGGGCCCGAGCCCACAAAACCATGTCTTCCATAACCCTGGAAGCAGAATCTCCTGCAAGTACGCGGCTTTCCTTCGCTTCGGTCGGAAGGGGGGGTGGGGCGGGGGACTCCAGGGCTAAAAGGGAGTACCCTAAACCCTAAACCCTAAACCCGAAACCCTAAACCCTAAACCCTAAACCCTAAAGGTCCCGGGTCATAGGCGGCCTTATGCTCAACCCCTGGGGTAGTAATCTCAAGCTCGCGTGGAGTGCCGGACCTGCTTTAATATGGTTTAGGGTTTAGGGTTTAGGGTTTAGGGTTTAGGGTTTAGGGTTTAGGGTTTAGGGTTTAGGATTTGAAAAAGCCTACTTGTAAAGACAAAGTTTCCGGGTTATCGAACGGGTGTTCAATTTTTGCACGGGCAGAAGGGACAATACCAAGGCCACGCGAAGCGTCCCAGGGTCTGTAGGGTTCAGGTTGGAAATTTCCCTAAACCCTAAACCCTAAACCCTAAACCCTAAACAAGAGCCGACCATGAACAGACACCAACTTGCGGCGAGGCGTCTGCAGGAGCTTGTAGGACCTTGGACGGTGGTGTGAACGGGGTTCATTGCCCGAAACCATTTAGGGTTTAGGGTTTAGGGCTTAGGGTTTAGGGTTTAGGGTTTAGGGGGCTCATTGCCCGAAACCATTTAGGGTTTAGGGTTTAGGGTTTAGGGCTCAGGGCTTAGGGTTTAGGGTAGGGTTTAGGGTTTAGGGTTTAGGGTTTAGGGTTTAGGGTTTAGGGTTTAGGGTTTCGGGTTTATCTGGAGCTCTTCCGAACCCTTCTTTTTGGGTTTATGAGCCGCCAAAAAAACCAAACCCAAAAGCCCAAGGCTGAAACCCCAAGCCGGGAACCCAAACCCTCAACCCCTCGCCGAAGCGTTGAATCCCAAGGCCGGAGGCTTGGGCTTTTGCACCCATAGGGCTGCCTATAGGTTTTACAAGAACCCCGGAGTACCGTAACCAGCGCTCGGAAAGCCTAAACCCTGAAAAATCTGAAGCCAAAACCCTCAAGACCAAACAAAAAGCCCGAACAGACCCCGAAAGGCCCAACTCCCAACCCTGGGACCAGGCCTACTTGAAAGCTCATGGTTAGGCTAAGTGGGGCTATACATGGGTTTATTGATTTGGGGTTTAGGACTTAGGGTTTAGGGTTTAGTGGTTCTTATTCAAGCACAGAACCCTTTAAGCAATTCATGGCAAGGGGCAGCGAGTTCGCGTCGACCATCTCCTCCGCACCCGAAGCGCCGTGGCCTCCGAGACACGCCAGCCAGGCGCTTGGGATTTCGGGTTCAGGGTTTAGGGTTTAGGGTTCAACGCAGGCTTGAGGGTCGCAAAAGCTTGCGGACGCTTGAGAACGCAAAAGCTGATACATTACACTACACACAACCCAACCTTTCCTGCAGAATGGAAGAGAGCGCTTCTCCGCGCAGCCAGGTAAATCCCAAGCCACAACAAAAAGAGTCCTAAACTTCAAAGCCCTGAACGATGCTCTCATCCGAGCCGCTCGACCCGGAGCTCTAAACCCTAAACCCTAAACCCTAAACCCTAAACCCTAAACCCTAAACCCCCCAAACCCTAAACCCTAAAGCCTACAGCCTAAACAGGTCCAAGCCCAGGCCTCTCCGCTCGTTCGTGAAGTTCTCTGGGATGGCTTCGGCCACGCCCGAGCAGACCACGAAGAAGTCCTTGGGGGGTGCTGCTGGTTTAGGGTTTAGGGTTTAGGGTTTAGGGTTAAGTTTAGGGTTTAGGGTTTAGGGTTTAGGGTTTAGGGTTTAGGGTTTAGGGTTTAGGGTTTAGGGCCTGAGTTGGGGGACTTCTTGGTCCGCGCACGAAGTCTTTCTGCAAACAAGAGATATCGGCACAGGGGCCACGACGAAGAACGAGCCCCATGTGGGGCATTTCCCACAAGAGGGGTGTCGGGGTACGCCTTGATACCCCAAATAGACTAGATTCCCCTAGCGGGACCCCCAAAAACCCCCTGGCTCTCAGCAGGGAATGAGGGAATGAGGGCCCTATATAATCCCTCAAAGGGTATATATAGGGCACTCATTCCCTCATTCCCTACTAAGAACCAGCCCAAAAAGGGTACCGGTATGTTCCGAAACCCCCATGTCCATGGGTCTTTGTGCCGCCAAGCCACCTCGGCAGCACTGCCTCCTGCTGCAGGGTTTAGGGATTAGGGTTTAGGGTTTAGAGTTTAGGGTTTAGGGTTTAGGGTTTAGGGTTTAGGGTTTAGGGCTCAGGGTTTAGGGTTTCGAAGATCAGGGTGCCTTCTTGGGGTCCTTATCATAAGGGGATCCTACTATTTGGGGGTCTACTACAGGGGTCTGCCCCGGTTGTCGCAAACTCCCAGATGACGCAGCGCCTTCGACGATGATGCGCTGCTGCGGGACGCGCAGGCGCGTGGCGCGGCTGGCGAGCTCCTTGACCCTGTCGATGCCTTGGCTTCATTCTTGTTAAGGGTTTGGGGTTAGGGTTTAGAGTTTGGGGTGTTTATGTTTCATCCGTTACTGCTATGGGGGGTTCCGAATCTAGGGGTACTTTTTTGGGGCCCTTATGAAAAGGGTCCTGCTATGTGCGGGTCTATGCTAGGGGTCCCCTATTTTCGCAAACTCCCGGGAAGTTTCTCCACTATGATTTCTTTGTTTTGTCAGCAAAACCGTCGCGGATCTAAACTGCGGCCTGCCGTAATTAGAAAACCAAAATGTGTTGACCACCTGCACACCCTACAAAGCTGAACCTCCGAACTAAAGCTTCGCGCTGATGGCCTTGAACCCGGAAGCCAACCCTTAACCCTAAACCCTAAACCCTAGACCCTAAACCCTAGACCCGAATCCTAAACCCTAAACACTTCCGAACCCTCAAACCTCAAAACCCTCAAACCCCTAAACCCCTAAACCCCTAAACCCCTAAAGCCCTAAACCCCTAAACCCTTAAACCCCTAAACTCTAACCCCTAAACCCCTAACCCCTAAACCCGAAACCCGAAACCCTAGACCCTCTGAACCCTCAAGCAATCAGCGACGTGTCAGGCAAAGCCGCGCTCCGAGAGGTCAATGGCGGACCGCAAGTTCATGTTCTTGCAAAGCGACCTGCGCATTTAGGGGGCTTAGGGCTGTAGAGGGTTTTGGGTTTCGGGTTTCGGGTTTCGGGTTTCGGGTTTCGAGGGTTGTGGGTTTAGAGGGTTTTAGGGGGTGTAGGGGGTGTAGGGGGCGGGTTCAGGGGTGTCTCTGTGGTTGAGGGTTACATTGGGGCTGTAAGGTTTCAAGGCTCTAGGGCTTCAGGAGGCTTTGGGGTTCAGGGGGCTTTTTGGGGCATGTACGGGTTTAAGGATTTAGGGCTCTAGGCGTGCCACAAGGATTAGGGGGCTGAGAGCTGTCGAGCTCGGGGTAAAGGGGTCGCCTAAGCCGAAAAGAGTCTCAGAAATGCTGAAAGCCCTGTTACAACATGGCGTCTTCCAAGTGGTCAGGGCACCCGCACACCCGATAAGAGATCACAGTTCTCCGGAGCACATTTACCCTAAGCCCTCAACCCTCAACCCTGAACCCCTAGCAAAATATCGGAACCGACAGCCTCACGATGAAGTCCAGCTCCTCCTCCGTCAGCTTTCCTTGGGACTTGGATCTCATTGGCCAGCAACACGCATCATACCCTCCCCTTGAGGTTGAGGGTGGCTCCAGATGGCTCAATCCTGAAATCGGTTGAACCCTAAGCCAGAAACCCTAAACCCTGAACCGTAAACCCTACTCCCCAAGATGCCTCAACCTTTAACCCCAAGCCCTAAACCCTCATTCTTTCAGATTTTCTCCCCCCCTGAGCACAGCCAGGGTTCCTGGAACGGGTGTCACGCCCGGCATGCGCTTCGCCAGGTTCCCCGCGCGCTTGGCATGTCCTCGCCGAAAACCGTGCACCCCCTAAACCCAAAAACCCAAAAACCCCAAAACCCAAAAACCCAAAGGACCCTACCAACCTACACCGCTGAACCCTAAACCCTAAACCCCTAGAACCTGCCTCCCTAGTCCGTGAAGCCCTGAAACCTGAAATCCCGCCACCCTGTTCAGAAGGCCCTTACCTTTCTTGTGCCCCCTACCCCCCCCCAGAAGCCTGAACCCTTGAAACCCTAAGCCCCCTCCCCTAAGCCCTAATCCCTAAGCCCTAAACCCTAAACCCTCAACCCTAAACCCTAAACCCTAAACCCCTAAACCCTAAACCCTAAACCCTAAACCCTAAACCCTAACCCTAAACCCTAAACCCTAAACCCCAGAAGTCCCTCGTACATGGCCGCGCGCCGCGGGAAGTGAAGGCACTCGTGCAGGCCGAGGTCTTCGAACTTCTGGCCTTGCTGTGAGAAGGATGAAAATCTCGGGCGTGGTTACGCCTCCTACCGGGACAGGCTGTTTGTGCTGCCTGACCTGCAAGCTTTCAGGGTTTAGGGTTTAGGGTTTAGGGTTTAGGGTTTAGGGTTTAGGGTCTAGGGTTTAGGGTTAAGGGTTCAGGGTTTAGGGTTTGGGGTTTCGGGTTTAGGGTACAGGGTTTAGGGTTTAGGTCCAAGAAGGCTTCAATATACCAAACCTATACCCTTTGATTCACAGAGTCCTTGAAAGGGGTTCCGAGGCTCACTCTACAGCCCACACCCTCAACCCTGAAAATGCATGATCCCGAAACCCTAAACCCTAAACCCTAAACCCTAAACCCGAAACCCATTCAGGATCGCTGCGCACGTTCGCTCTGGAAGCCCAAAAAGCGTGCGGGTCAGCGGGTTTGCAGTACACCGAGCTGATGAGGCAACTTACGAGCAATCCCAGTAGCATAGGTGTGCTGTGACAACGTGGCTAATCTCTAGGGGTGGTGCTTGCCGCCTAGTGTGATTTCTTTCTCTACTGAGTTGCAACCTCGCTCCGTTCGCACTGGGTCTAGATTTCGCACTGGACTGCTGGAGCTTTCAGAATCAGTACGTCGGCAGTTTTTCTCCACGGTTCTGGCCAGATTACTTGCTCAGCAGTTTGTCGCAGGCAGGCTCAGCTCTGTGAGGCTTGCTAGGCCCCAGCGAAACCGAGGATGAGATGCAATCCTCAAAGTTAGGGCCCAGTGGACTTGTCTCCTCTTGCCGCACATGGGGACCGTCCGCTATCTAGCGTCTGCGATGCCACCGCAACATCCACGTCCAACTCCCTCTCGCTCACACTCCCGCTCGCGCGCACGATTGCCGAACACTCAGCCCCATCAGGCTCTAAGGGCGAAAGCTGACACGACAGCACATCGGGCGCAAGAAGGAGACTCCGGCCATGAAAACCTGGGTTGTAAGAACCTGCAAGAACTCAAAACCCTAAACCCTAAACCCAGATTGGCGCAACCTTGGGGGGAGGAGGCTGCAATCTTCGACCTCAACCTCCTAAATCCGAGGGGAAGCCTACCTTGTCAGTGACTCTTGCAGGGCTTAGGGTTTAAGGTCTAGGGTCTTAGGGTTTAGGGTTTAGGGTTTATATAGGGCTTAGGGCTTAGGGTTTAAGGTTTAGGGTCTTAGGGTTTTAGGTTGGGATGTTCCACCCTTATACGAAGAGTCCTTAAGAGGGAGTATAGTACCCCCTATTATCGTCACGATGAAGGATTGTGAAGAGAAGGGAGAACATCCCAACCCTAAACCCTAAACCCTAAACCCTAAACCCAAAACCCAAGCTTTAGGGTTTTTATTGCAGCCTCGGGGGCGGGAGAGAGTGTAGCACGTGACGCCCGGAGGCTCGGCGACCACCGAGGCGCGGAACGCGCGCGTCTGCACCTGAGGCTAAGGGTTTAGGGTCTAGGGTCTAGGGTTGAGGGTTTAGGGTTTAGGGTTTAGGGTTTAGGGTTTAGGGTTTGGGGTTTAGGGTTTAGGGCTTAGGGTTTAGGGTTTAGGGTTTAGGGCCCCCTGAACACTTCTGAGTCCTTTCAGCCCTGAACCCTAAAACCCTAAAACCCTGAAACCCTGTAACCCTAAACCCCAAAGCCCTGAAACACTAAAAACCCTCTAACCCTAAACCCTAAAACCTGAAACCCTAACACCCGAAACCCTCTTATGGCTTACTAGGTCCATCCTGCCAGGTTTGTTAGGGCTGGGCTCTGAAGCTGTTGGTGGATTCTCGGGAAACCTCGCTGGTGGACCTACATAGGGTTTTTTTTTGGTTTAGGGTTTAGGGCTTAGGGTTTAGGGGGCTTAGGGTTTAGCGGGCTTCGGGCTTCGGGCATCGGGCTTCGGGCTTCGGGCTTCGGGTTTAGATAACAAAAGATGTTTGTATTTTCATCCGGTTGGGCATGTTGGTACTTGTCTGTCTCCAGCTCCTCAGATGCGGAATCTAAACCTAAACCCAGCACACTAACCCTAAACCCGAACCCCTAAACCGCCTAAACCCTGAACCCTAAACCGCCGAAAACCTAAACCCTAAACCCTAAACCCTAAACCCTAAACCCTAAACCCTAAACCCAATAAAATGAACTCCCACATGGACGAGAAAAAGGGGCTTGGGGGCTTAGTTTGGGGTTTGGAAATGGGGTTGTTGTTTAGGGGTTTAGGGTTTAGGGTTTAGGGTTTAGGGTTTAGGGTTTCGGGTTTGGGGTTGAGTGGTTACATGGTCCCTTTGGGCCCTTGAATGGGGCCCCTTATGGGCTAAGGGTTTTAGGGGTAGTTTCATGGTCCCTTAGTATGGGCCCTTAAATGGGACCCCTCATGTACCCTAAAACCCAAGGAACCATGCTTCAGAACCCTTTAGAGAAGGTCAGGGACCATGTGAAGGGCGCATGAAACTGCCCCTAGAGCCTGTAAGGTCCTAGTATCCTAGGGTTTGATTAGGGCTGAGGGCTAAGGCTGGGAATTGACTTGGGGTTCGGGTTTAGGGTTCGAAGTTCGGGTGGATTTAGGGGTTTAAGTGTAGGGTTTAGGGTTTAGGGTTTAGGGTTTAGGGTTTAAAGTTTGGGGCTTAGGGCTTGGGGTTTAGAGGTTAGGGCTTTAGATTGGGAGCTCCGTGCCGCTTCCCTGAAAAGATACATGCTTGCGGGTCTTCTAGGAACATTTGTATACGTGTGTGTATATATATGTATATATATATATATATATATATATATGTATGTGTGTATGTATATATGCTATTGAATGTGTATATATGTCTATACATATATATATATATATATATGAACCCATATATATATAATATATAAAGATATAAAGAAGGCGAGAAAAAGACACTCTGAAACCTCCTCAACTACAGCAACCCTCCCTGAACTCTGCCAGGACCGAGCCACCAGCGCGTAGCCTCCGCTCCAGTCCCCCCGGTGGAGGGTGGCGATCCGCTGCTCCTGCGACAACTCAGCTGCAGGCGCGCTCGAAGTGAAGTAAGGCCACTAAAGCCGGTTTAGGGTTTAGGGTGTAGGGTTTAGGGTTTAGGGTTTATGGTTTAGGGTTTAGGGTTTAGGGTTTAGGGTTTGAGGGTTTAGGGTTTAGGGTTTAGGGTTTAGGGTTTAGGGCCTAGGGCCTAGGGCTTAGGGTTTCCTACTTCAGCTACTTGGGGCAAATAATTCGGGACATATGTTCGTGTTGGGGTTTGGGCTGAGGGTTTGTGGCTGAGCACTCCAGGCCACAAGAAGACGACACGAGTTGACGTAATTCGGAGCATGCATACTCTTTTGCATACTGCGAGTCCTCTTGCTTGGGTGCTGCCCCGAACCTATCTTGCAAAAACCGCTACCAGCAGTTTTAGAGCGCTCTGGGCAAGGCTCCCCATCGTCGCCGTCGCTGGCAGGGGAGGTCTGCCGCATCATACCAGTGGTGCCTTGGGGCCGAACCCGAACCGCAACCCGAACCGATAGTGCCTCGGATTCGGAGCTAGGTGGGGACTAGGCGCCCTCCCAAGCTTCTAGGGGCCTTTCAGCCTAAACCCTAAACCCTAAACCCCAAACCCTAAACCCTAAACCCTAAGCCTCCAAAGCGAGCGGGAATGGGCGCTTTAATCCACCGGCCTCCCAAGCCATGGGGGCCTTTCAGGGGCCTGCCTGTAAATGCTAGCGCCTTGCTAGGCTCCTGAAAAACCTCTCACAAGAGGTTTTTCAGTGGCTTGTCAGGAACCTCCAGAAACCTCCCCTAGAAACCCTGAAAAAATCTTGGGATGTTCTGGCAAAAAACTCTGCAGCCCAGCAGAGCCTGCCCTGGTCTCACTGAGAGTTCGACTGCGCCCACCCACCCAGCAGAGGTGAGAGGGGTGGCGGGCGGGTTAACGTTTTAGGGTGGAGAGTGGAGAGTGGCAAGACTAAGTATGCCCCTCATCACGCAAGACCCAATCCTAACCAAACAAACCCCTACATGGTTGCCAACAGTCTTCAAAACCCCTTATTGTCAAATACCTACGAAATAGGGTCCCATAGCCTTTATGAAGCCTTATGCAGGTCGAAGGGACCGTCATTTTTCATGACAACCGCGGCCGTCCCTGTCTTGATGACTTTCAGCTCCTGCCCGACATCCCCCTGCTTCGCCAACAGCTCCCCGGGACGAAACCTCGACAGCAGTGAGTTTAGGGTTTAGTGTTTAGGGTTGAGGGTTTAGGGTTTGGGGACGGGATTAGGGCTACCTATTTAGGGTTTAGGGTTTAGGGTTTAGGGCTTAGTACATAGGGTTTAGCACAACTGCTGTTTCGTTTTTGAATTGTTGTTGGGGGGAGTTCGGGGTTCGGGCTGTACGGTTTTTGGGAGTTGTTTCGGACACTCCTCAATCACGGCTTTAGAGGGCATCTGTAAGAGGGCACGGACGACCGGCTCCGCTTCATTACGACACGTCGAGGCGCATCTTCATCTCCAGCGCCTCTGCTACGCGAGGAAGGTCCGCTCGGGGAAGCTGGTTGGCAAAGACCGGCACGGTTTCCAGGAACTTGACCCGCTCTTCGAATTCCTCTCTTTGACCTTCGAAGATGCTTGCCTAACATCACCTAGATGCTAGGGTAGTAGGGCACTAGGTGATGTGTTAGGTCTGGGCGTGTTTCTGGGAACCATATGGGGGGGGGGGGACCCCGTAATAAGGACTCCCGAATCATAGGATTCCCTTACAAATCCTTACAATAGGGGACCCAAATAATAGACCCCGAATTTCGGGAACCCCCAGAAAGGACACGCGATGCTTGGGGCGAGCAGGTCCGGCAGCTTCAGCGTCCGAGCTGCTGTTGTACTGCTGCATGCGCCATGAGGTTGGCAGCAGCCCCTCCACGCAGGAGCAGCCCTCATGCCCACCACAAAGGCGCTGGCCCATGGCAGACGACAGCAATCCCGCAACCCCACACCCCAAGCACTCCTGGAAGACGGACCTACAAACGCCAAGGCTCAAGGAAGCGGTGGGGTATGGTACTCGTCGCTGTGGGTGCTGTAAATGGGCTGCGGGTTGTGGGGTGTTGGGTTTGGGGTCTAGGCTGGCTTGGGCTTGAGGGCTTAGGGTTCAGGGTTCAGGTGGTGGTGGTGGCGGTGGTGGTGGCGATGGTAGAAGATGCTCGGCACTCTTTCAGTGATTTCTCAGCTGAACTGCTGGAAAAGCTGCACAGAACAAGCGAACGTGACTTGCAACTGGATTCCGTCTGGCAGGAGCAAGAGCTTCGACGCAACGACACTTGCGGCCTGAGAAACCCTGCATGTTTTTGTCTTTGTAGCCAGGCTCGTATGGGCCTCTGTTGCAGTGCTCGTCTCGGGGTCGGACTCGGACATCGGACGCTTCTTCCAGTGCCTGATCGCCTGATCGCAGCCCTTCTGAACTTCGCTTCACGTGGTGCACACCACACCATGCGGCCACGGGCAGTGGCCCTGGTACCCTGCTATCTCCAGGAGGACGGCCGCGGGGCTACGGAGGTTCATGTACGTGTAGACGTCGGCCGGTAGTCGGCCCAGCTGCCACAGCCACCGCAGTTGCCAGCCGTCTGTCCCGGAGCATCGTGCCCCGGCTCCCCAGCAACCGCCGGAGCCACGCTCCGCGTCCTTTGGGCGGCTTTAAAAAAACAACAAAAGACTGTGCACATAACTCTTATTGAAAAGGCCCTGTTTCACTTCGAAGCCGTTCTCGACCCTCGATGGCCCTAAAGCGACTCATCCCAAACCCCAGGCCCCAGACAGGCTTGAGGATTTACATTTTTCCTACATCCCCATGATACCCTTGAACAACTCTCTCGATGCCTGCTCGGCGCCACGACTGACACGTTTCTCGGCGAGCGGAACATCGCGAAACCGCTGCGCGAGACTGCGCCGGCGCAAGGCGCCCTTGCGCCACACATGACCCGACGGCTCCGCGGCCCGACAAGCGCGACCCTCTAAAAGCTATCGCGATGCAATGACGGTCCGAAGTTGCAAAAGATGATGGGCTCAGGGGCTGTAGGGACTCAAAGTTATAGGGTGTAGGCGCATCGCGGCTGGGCAACAGCGCGGGGCGTACGCTTCGCAGAGGCCTCGCTGACGCAGGGCACAGAACAGACGAGTCGGAGCCGACTCGTGGGCGTCTGAGCATCCACCATAAACCCCTGCATCCTCACATGAGCAACATCCTGCCATGACGGCCTAAACCTAACCTCCCGGACCCTACACCCCGAAGCCCTACAACGCTGAACCTTGAACATCACCTCAAATTCACTACAAAACTCCCCAAACCCGAACCCCAAAATTCTTCCCCAGTCTCCCAAGGCGGGGCGTTCGCGACGCCATGCTCTGCGGGTTGGGCACGCCCATGCCCTGGGGCCCACAAACCGTCTGCTTAGAGCTTTGGGTTTGGGGAGAGCTTGAGGGTTTGCGGGTTTGGGGGTTTGGGGTTTTGGGGAGTTGGGGAGTTGGGGAGTTGGGGAGTTGGGGAGTTGGGGAGTTGGGGAGTTGGGGAGTTGGGGAGTTGGGGAGTTGGGGAGTTGGGGAGTTGGGGAGGTTCAGGGTTTGGGTAATGCAGTTGGGCGCCGGGCTCGGGTACTGTGGGGTTGGAAAGGGGGCTTCGAGGGCTTAGGACTTGCCCGTTGGCTTCTTGTGGTGGCCATTATGGCAGTTTGGGTTTCGGAAGGTTTTCGGGCGTTGCCAGACCCAGTGTCATGCTCTAGACCCGAAACCCCAAACCCTAAACCCTAACCCCAAACCCTGAACTCTAAACCCTAAACCCTAAACCGTAAACCCCAAACCCCACACCCTAAACCCTAAATCTTAAACCCTAAACCGAAGGTCGAGCCGCCATTGTGTCCGCCATGCCTTGGCTGAGCGTCTTTGAGGCTCCGGAACTTTGGGCCAACATTCTTTGGCACCCTAAACCCGGGGAACCTACAGCTGCACCCTGAACCCTGAACCCTAAACCCTAAACCCTAAACCCTAAACCCTAAACGCTAAACCCTAAACACCTGCACGCTATATCCTTAAACCCCAAACCCCTGCACCCTAAATCCTAAACCCCAAACCGTTCAGGGGTTGGGGTTTAGAACTCCGGTCCCCCTCCGCCCCGCCAAGGCTCGAGACTAGGGTTCAGTGTTGAGGGTTGTAGGGTTTAGCGCTTAGGGTTGTATGGGTTTAGGGTTTAGGCTTTAGGCTTTAGGGTTTAGGGTTTAGGGTTTCGGGTTTAGGGATTAGGGTTTAGGGTTTAAGGTTTCGGGTTTCGGGTTTAGGGTTTAGGGTTTAGGGTTTAGGGTTTGGGGTTTAGGGTTTAGGGTTTAGGGTTAGGGCTCTAACCTTTGAATCCAAAGACCCCAAACTCTAGTTCCCCCAATGCGAAAGCCAGGTGCCATCCTCCCTTTCCGACAGCGGGCGGTTCATGAAGGTGAAGCAAAAGCCTTGGCGATTGCGGAGTATAGAGCCCCGTCGAATCCTCCCGAAGGACCCCACATATACCCCTAAGGAATATGCTTGATATCGCGTGCCGCTACCGATTCTTTGCCATACTCCTGCACGCTAGACTCTAAGTTAAAGAGCCAGAAACACGGAGTCCTCAACTCTGAGCCCTAAACCCTAAACCCTCAACCCTAAACCCTAAACCCTAAACCCTCAACCCAGAGCCCTAAACCCTAAGCCCTAAGCCCTAAGCCCTAAACCCTAAACCCTAAACCCTAAGGTATGGAAATCCTCGGAATGGGCTCCACGGGCTCCGTCCTGAATGAACTCGTCTAGGGCTCACGCAGCAGCAGGTTTAGGGTTTAGGGTTTAGGGTTTAGGGTTTAGGGTTTAGGGTTTGGGGTTTAGGGTTTGGGGTTTAGGGTTTAGGGTTTAGGGTTTAGGGTTTAGGGTTTAGGGTTTAGGGTTTAGGGTTTAGGGTTCAGGGTTTAGCGTTCAGGCGGGGCTCAAGGTTCGCAACTTCTTTGCTCCCAAGCGGCTGACTCTGGGATAGCAGCGCTTGAACTGCGCCGCAATTCCCACACCTATCTCCAGGGAGCTGCTTCTGCTGCCCACAAGACGATCCCCAGGGCCCTGAAATTCATGACAACCCGCGACGCACGGGGTTTAGGGTTTAGGGTTTAGGGTTTAGGGTTTAGGGTTTAGGGTTTAGGGTTTAGGGTTTAGGGTTTAGGGTTTAGGGTTTAGGGTTTAGGGTTTAGGGTTTACGGCAGGGGAGAGAGGGGGTAGACGGGGTTCGAAGACAAGAAAACCAAACTCAGGGTTCTTAAGGACGTTTTAGGTTGTGACGCTTCCCAGGTTGTCTGTGGTCCTTGACAAAGCTGGAGTCCGCGAGGCACATAGGTTTTGGGGCTTAGGGTCAGGTTGGTTCATAAACCAGCCCTTGGGGGTGGTCTTGGAGGGGTCTAGGGCCCGAAACTTGGGATGTTCCCCCCTTTTTACTAACAATCCTCAATAAGGATGATGCTATCCCCTATTATAATCCCAGTTAAGGACTGTTAGTATAAGGGGGAGCATCCCAACCCGCAACCCTAGACCAACAGAATAGCGTGCGCCTGCATTTGCGAGGCGCAAACAAGCCCCAAGCCCTTCAAGCCGTCTTGCCTAAACCCTAACCCCCCACAGTCCCAAGGGTGCAGGCCTTAAGCTGCTGAAGCCTGCTGCCGCAACCCAGACTCCACTTGAAGGGTCATGGGTACTTAGTACTTATAGTCCCAACTATACGTCTGCTTTTAGCATACCTGGGTTATCCCAATTCTGATGTCTCAACCCTAAACTCCTACACCAAAAAAAACCCTCAAACCATGAAGTCCCGAAACTCCCGGGAAACAGAAACAAAGCAAAACAAAATACAATTTTCACATATACTTATCAAACAAAACAAAATACAATATACATATATACCTATATACTTATATACTTATTTATTTCTCTATCCAAGAAGAAACAAGAAGGTCGCCCCCCCACTCTCGGCCGCCCCAGGCGCAGGAGAGGCAGGGCACGCCGGAGGTGTGGAAGGCCAGGGCGCCACTGACGTCCTCCCGGCCCTCCTTGTCAGGGATTTCGGAAGCCCTGGAGGCGTAGAGTTCAGGGGTTTAGGGTTTAGGGTTTAGGGTTTCGGGTTTCGGGTTTAGGGTTTAGGGTTTAGGGTTTAGGGTTTAGGGTTTAGGGTTTAAGGTTCAGGGGTTAGGGTTCGAGGTGCAGAGTTTACGGTTGAGAGTTTCAGGCTTAGAATTATACGGGTTTGGGTTTAGGAGACGAGGTTTTAAGGCTCCCTGAACAACCCCAGCACCATTGAACCCTTCAGCCCTAAGCACATGAGCCCTACGTTTCGCGACTCAAGCTGCACACACACCCAGAGGGAGCCTCCTGAATCACCTTCTTCAGCATCTCGTGCGTGGCAAGCATGGCCCGACACCTCACCCATCTGAGCGTGAGGGAGGCTGCGTTGGATTCAAGGCCCGGCTATAGGCACCGTTCTTGCGTTGCCTTTCAAAAAGAGGACACTAGAAATAGCATCCCAAAAAAGGCGCCTAATGCTTGGAAAGCGGAGTGCCCCTGATGCACACTGTTCAGCCAGGGGTCCCATGCCTCAAGACCCAAAGCCTGAACCCTCATCCCGTGTTAAAGCTGGGGCTTACGCGAGTTTAGGGCTGCTCGTGTTTTAAGCCTCACCTAAAGCCCCAAAGCGTCCCCTGCACGCTCCAGCACCCGAGATCTAGATCGCCTAACCCTGAACCCAAGAGATCCCAAGGCTGAGGCCTCATGTCTTCCGCCCCTTTTCTGGTGTAGGGTGTAGGGTGTAGGGGGGAGGGTGTCGGGTGTCGGGTGTAGGGTGAAGGGTTTAGGGTTTAGGGTTGAGGGTTGAGGGCCTTTTCTGGGTTAGGGTGTAGGGCTTAGGGTTTAGGGTTTAGGGTTTGGGGTTTAGGGTTTCAGGTTTATGGTTTAGGGTTGAGGGTTCTCCGGGAGACACTGAGGGGCAGGCTCAGCATCACCGCTGCGCCCGGCACGGCCCACAGTGGGAGAATCGGCCTTCCCTTGGCCCAGCCACACGACCTCCGTTCGCCCGCAGACCGTTTTCGGACCTTTCGGGTCTTATTCGGCTTCTCAACCCTAACCCCTAAACCCTAAACCCTAAACCCTAAAGATGGCTGATTCTGATTCTTCATCCCTGAACAAGTTGGGAACCTCCCAGCTGCCGTTTAGGACTTGGAGCTCAGGGTACGGGATGCGAACTCACGAGCGATCAACGCTAAAACGTCCGAGGCGCAGAAAGAAGGACACGCCCCAACACTTCCGCCCAAATCCCATAAACTCTACACCCTCAACCCTAAACCCTGAACCCTGAACCCCAAACCCGAAACCCTAAACCCGAACCGACGGGCATCCCTGACCTTTTCGGAAACCTCAACCCTTCTCTTTGGCGCTCACAACACGAATTACGTCGGAGGTCGAAACTTTCGGAGTCCTAAACCCTAAACCCCTAAACCCCCAAACCCTAAACCCTAAACCCTAAACCCTAAACCCTAAGCCCGAACCTGAAACCCACAGCTTCGTCAGGAGCACGCGACTCCTTTCGGACAAGACTATCGGGTCCGACCTCTGGAGCCCTCAACCCTCTATGCATTGGGATGTCCCCTCTTATACTAACAGTCTTACCATAGGGGGGATTATAACCCCTATTAAGGACTGTTAGTATAAGGGGGACTAAACCCTAAACCCTAAACCCTAACCCTAAACCCTAAACCCTAAACCCTATTGGGCTTTTAAGGGCTGTTAGGTCCAAGGGGGAACCTCCCAACCCTTTTTGCAGTCCAGGCGGCGATGAAGTCTGCGGCCTGGTCCTCCTGGGCCGAGGCGAAGGCGCTGGTGAAGATGGTGCCAGGATCCTGCAGAGCTGGCTTAGGGTTTAGGGTTTAGGGTTTAGGATTTAGGATTTAGGGTTGATAAGTTTACACCCTTTAGCCCTTAGCCTCAGCCCTGAAACCTTAAACCCCTAAAGCCCTAAACCTTGAACCACTAAAGCCCCAAAACCCCTAAAGCCCCAAACCCCTGAAGCCCCCCAGCGTCCTCGAGGCTGCGCCCTCCAATTGACAGGGCGTAGCGCCGCGCGACCGTGGTGCGCCGGGCGTTGGTCGTCCAGCCTGGCACTGAAGGAGACTGGCTGGTTCTTAGTAGGGAATGACCTACATATTCCCTGTAAAGGGTATATACCTACAGAATCCGGGGGGGAGAGGCTGAGAAGCTTGGGGGGGTTAGGAGTTCAAGGGGGATTGGGAGTTTTTGGGTTCAGGGTGTCCGAGCTTTAGGTTTAGGGCTTCGGGTTTGGGAGTTCAGGGTTTAGGGGTTTGTGAGCTTGGGGGTGTCGGAGAGGCTTTGAGACGTAGGGTTTAGGGACTTTGGCTGGGAAAGCTCCTCTCGTGGTTAGCTTCCTTGCCTGAAACGAATGTGTAACGTGAACGTATCTTTGCAGTTCTTTCTCTAAATTCTTTCTACGGTGCTGCAAAGCTCTTTGGCCACAGCGCTTCAGGTCGCGGACTGTTTGACTTAGGGTCGGGTTAGGGCTTCTCTGAAATCTTCCCTCCTAAACCCTAAACCCTAAACCCTCAACCCTCAACCCTCAACCCTCAACCCTAAACCCTAAACCCCAAACTGACGAGAAAAAAAAGCCCCTGAAAAGGACCCCCCCAGATGCCTGGCATGGCCATGGCTTCGGCCACCTCCCAACTCCGCCCCTCGCGCAGCTGAAGGTCTTGAAAAAGGGTGGTGGTGTGCTCATAGCCTCGGCCAGGGCTTAGGGTTTAGGGTTTAGGGTTTAGGGTTTAGGGTTTAGGGTTTAAGGTTTACTGTAGGGTTTAGGGTTTAGGGCTTAGGGCTTAGGGCTTAGGGCTTAGGGCTGCTGAGGGCTGCTTAGGGCTTAGGGCTTAGGGTTTAGGGCTTAGGGTTTAGGGCTTAGGGCTTAGGGCTTAGGGTTTAGGGCTTAGTGTTTAGGGTTTAGGGTTTAGGGGTTTCAGGGTTTTAGGGTTTAGGGTTTAGGGTTTAGGGTTTAGGGTTTAGGTTTAGGGTTTAGGGTTTAGGGTTTAGGGTTTAGGGTTTAGGGTTTAGGGTTTAGGGTTTAGGGTTTAGGGTTTAGGGTTTAGGGTGTAGGGTGTAGGGGTTTCAGGGTTTTAGGGTTTAGGGCTTAGGGTGTACGGTGTAGGGAGTAGGGTTCAGCCCTCCACCACCCCACCCCCCCCCCCCAAGAGGGTGTTTGGTTGATGCTTTGTTGGGCTCTTTGCTCGGGTTCCAGGGTTTCGCTTCTTGAAGTTTCGGGCTTGGGCTTTTTAGGAGGTCAAGATTTTCGAGGGCATTGAAGGGCTTCGGGGTGCTCTTGCTTGTACTCCAAAGCTTCAAAGTCTGCTTCAACGGCTGAAGGCCGAGTACACCTGAAACCCTCCCAATTCCTCCCTAAACCCTAAGCCCTGAACCCCCTGAACCCTAATCTGAGCACGCGGCCGAAAGTTGTCAACCCGAGCGCACGGAGCCGGCGTTGGTAGTCGTGAACCTCCTCCGCTTAAGGCTTTAAGGTTCGGGCTTAGGGGCTTAGGGAGAACAAGTATAGGCACTACTACACTGCTCTTATGGGGCATCCCCCCCGCAAACTCCCCATATACGGCTTAAGGCGCGCAAGGACGCCCCCAACCACGGCCCAGTCCTGCGGCGACGCGATGCCGCGCCGGCGCGGGAGCGCAGATGTGAAGAGCTGGAACAGCTCGGAGCCCATCTTCATCACGTGACCGCGCAGGACGCTCCTGGGTTGCTGTGACGGAGGTTTAGGGTTGAGGGTTGAGGGTTGAGGGTTTAGGGTTTCGGGTTCGGGGTGTCAGATGCTTGGTAGATAAAATACAGGTACCATAATAGGGGTCTAAACGAATTCGGACGAAAGAACTTAAGCTACCATGCTACGGAAAGGAGACTGAATGCCATCTCTTGATTTCAACTCCCTAATCCCTAAATGCTAAGACCCAAACCCCAAACGCCATCACCCAAACCCAAACACCCAAACCCCTAACCCTTGAAACCCCTAAACCCCTAAACCCCTGTTTTCTAGGACCCTAAACGAACCCCCAAACCCCTCAACCCTTTCCTTAACAAACCCGAACTCCCAAAATTCCCAAACCCTAACCCCAAAGCCCTCAAGCCCTGAAGCCCTAGAGCGCCAAGCCCCAAGCCCCAAGCCCTATACCCTAAACCCTAAACCCGAAACCCCAAACCCTAAACCCCAAACTCTAAACCCTAAACCTCACACCTTAAACACCAAACCCTAAACCCTGAACCCCAAACCCTAAACCCTAAACCCTAAACCCTAAACCCTAAACCCCAAACCCCAAACCCTTCCTTCACAGCCACCCAGGCACAGGAGCGGCTCATCCCGGTCCACGCCGTACCGAGCCTCGAAGAGGGAGTCGCTGAGCATCCTCAAGCTCCACTTAACTTAGGGGGTTTTGGGTTTTTGGGTTTAGGGTTTAGGGTTTAGGGTTTCGGGTTTGGGGTTTGGGGTTTAGGGGTTTGGGTTTGGGGTTTGGGGTTTGGGGGTTTGGGGGTTTGGGGTTTGGGGTTTGGGGGTTGGGGGTTTGGGGTTTGGGGGTTTGGGGTTTGGGGTTTGGGGGTTTGGGGTTTGGGGTTTGGGGTTTGGGGTTTGGGATTTGGGGTTTAGGGTTTAGGGGTTTGGGTTTGGGGTTTAGGGGTTTGGGGTTTAGGGTTTTGGGTTTAGGGTTTGGGGCTTAGGCGTTTAGAATTTAAGGTTCAAGACTTAGGGACGGTATAACCTAGGGAATATTCTAATAAGGGGTATTGGTTGGGATGTTCCCCCGTATGCTAACAGTGCTTAGTCGGGATTTTAATAAGGGTACTATATTCCCGATTGAGGACTGATAGTACAAGGGGGAACATCCCAAGGTATTACGTCTCTGTGTGCTTTCCAGGGCGCATGATGGACGGAGGGTCCTGGGCCCAAGGTATGTGGCGCACGCTTCGGGTACGAAGAAGAGGCTGCTTCTGTGCCACCAGACAACCGCACATGCCCATTGACTACGGAAAAATGCCTCACATGGGGTTCCCTGGGTTCTCTGATTTCTCTGGATTCTCTGGGTTCTCAAGGTTCTCTGTGTTCTCTGCGTTCTCTCTGTTTTGGAGAAACTTGGGCCGGGGAGCGAACTCGGAGATGCGGCGGGAGGTCTCCCGGACCACGGCCGTGAGGCAGTCGTGGAAGTGCTCTGGGCCGAGCTGGCTGGCCGCCTTCACGTGGACTCGGGCCCGCAGAAGCTGCAATTTGGACTGCGACCAAATCTATGTGTATGTATATATATGTATACTATATATGTATACTAAACATATATATATATGCTCGCCCCCCCCCCCCATGATCCACACATTTGGCCTCGGGAAGGGGGTTTTGGGAGGGGGGGGGGACTCCAGACTCCAGATTTCCAGAAAAAATCTGGAGTACCCGGGCCCCGGACTCCAGACTCCAGATTTCCAGAAAAAATCTGGAGTACCCCCAGACTCCAGACTCCAGATTTCCGTACCCCCAGACTCCAGACTCCAGATTTCCAGAAAAAATCTGGAGTACCTCCAGACTCCAGACTCCAGATTTCCAAAAAAAATCTGGAGTACCGGGACTCTGGACTCCAGATTCTGGAGTCTGTAATCTGGAGTCTGGGGCCGCGGGTACTCCAGATTTTTTCTGGAAATCTGGAGTCTGGAGTCCGGGGCTCGGGTACTCCAGATTTTTTCTGGAAATCTGGAGTCTGGAGTCCGGGGCGCGGGTACTCCAGATTTTTTCTGGAAATCTGGAAGATTTTTTCTGGAAATCTGGAGTCTGGAGTCCGGGGCCCGGGTACTCCAGATTTTTTCTGGAAATCTGGAGTCTGGAGTCCGGGGCCCGGGTACTCCAGATTTTTTCTGGAAATCTGGAGTCTGGAGTCCGGGGCCCGGGTACTCCAGATTTTTTCTGGAAATCTGGAGTCTGGAGTCCGGGGCCCGGGTACTCCAGATTTTTTCTGGAAATCTGGAGTCTGGAGTCCGAGGCCCGGGTACTCCAGATTTTTTCTGGAAATCTGGAGTCTGGAGTCCGGGGCCCGGGTACTCCAGATTTTTTCTGGAAATCTGGAGTCTGGAGTCCAGGGCCCGGGTACTCCAGATTTTTTCTGGAAATCTGGAGTCTGGAGTCCGGGGCCCGGGTACTCCAGATTTTTTCTGGAAATCTGGAGTCTGGAGTCCGGGGCCCGGGTACTCCAGATTTTTTCTGGAAATCTGGAGTCTGGAGTCCGGGGCGCGGGTACTCCAGATTTTTTCTGGAAATCTGGAGTCTGGAGTCCGGGGCCCGGGTACTCCAGATTTTTTCTGGAAATCTGGAGTCTGGAGTCCGGGGCCCGGGTACTCCAGATTTTTTCTGGAAATCTAGTGTTTAGGGTTTAGTGTGTAGGTTTCAGGGTTTAGTGTTTTGTGTTTAGGGTTGAGTGTTAAGTTTAGGTTTTAGGGTTTAGGGTCAAGCGGCTCGGCTAAAACCCAAATAAAACCCTAAACTCTGAAATCCAAACAGTAAGCATCTGAAACCCCGACGGGTTTTTGGTTTCAGGTTTAGATTTAGTAGGGCTCGAGGTTCTGGCCTTGGGGTTTACTGTTTAGGGTTTAGGGTTTAGTGTCTAATGTTTAGGGTTTAGTTTGAAATGTTTAAGGTTTAGTTTTTGGGTTAAGTGCTTAAGTGTTTAGGGTTTCGTGCTAAGTGTTTGGGGTTTGTGCTAAGGGCTTAGTGTTAAGTTTTTAGGGTTAGTGTTTAGGGTTTAGTGTTGAGGGTTTCGGGTTTGGGTTTTAGGTTAAGGGTTTTAAGGATTTTTACAAATTTAAATGATCTGGGGAAGGCACCGGGGCTGCCCCAGACCATTGACAACTTAAAAAATCCTTCTGTTTAGGCTTTAGGGTTTAGTGTGTAGGGTTTAGTGTGTAATGGTTAGGGTTTAGTTTGTAGGGTGTAGTGTTTAAGTGTTTAGGGTTTAGTGTTTAGTAAGGGTTTAGTGCTTAAGTGTTTAGGGTTTCGTGTTCAGTGTTTGGGGTTCGTGCTAAGGGCGTAGTGTTAAGCTTTTAGGGTTAGTGTTTACGCTGGTGTTTAGGGTTCAGTGCTAAGGGTTTCGGCTTTTTTTTGGGTTAAGGGTTTAGTGTGTAGGGTTTAGTGTGTAATGTTTAGGGTTTAGTTTTTAGGGGTGCTTAGGTGTTTAGGGTTTCCTGTTAAGTGTTTGGGGTTTGTGCTAAGGGCTTAGTGTTAAGTTTTTAGGGTTAGTGTTTAGGGTCTGGTGCTGAGTGTTTAGGGTTTAGTAGTGCTTAAGTGTTTAGGGTTTCGTGTCAAGTGTTTGGGGTTTGTGGGCCTAGTGTGTTAAGTTTTTAGGGTTAGTGTTTAGGGTCTGGTGCTGAGTGTTTAGGGTTTAGTGTTAAGGGTTTCGGGTTTGGTTTTTTGGATTTAGGGTTTTAAGGATGTTTACTAGTGTTCAGGGTTTAGTGTGTAGGGTTTAGTGTGTAATGTTCAGGGTTTAGTTCTTAGGGTGTAGTGTTTGAGTGTTTAGGGTTTCGTGCTTAGGGTCTAGTGCTTAAGTGTTTAGGGTTTCATGTTAAGTGCTTGGGGTTTGTGCTAAGGGCTTAGTGTTAAGTTTTTGGGTTAGTGGTTAGGGTCTGGTGCTGAGTGTTTAGGGTTTAGAGCTAAGGGTTTCGGGGTTGGATTTTACGGTTAAGGGGTTTGAGGGTTTTTGCAAGTTTACATGATCTGGGGAAGGCACTGGGGCTTCCCCAGACCCACCTAAACATTAAAAATCCTTAAAATCTTATAAAAATCTTTAAGCTTCTGTTTAAGCATTCTCAGGATTATGAAGGTTTTAAGCCGTTTAAGCCTTTTAAAGACCTTAAATTGCTTACGTATTTAAGTGGCTGCCCTTTGCGGATTTTAGAGATTGTTGAAGTTGCCAATGGTCTGGAGAAGCCCCGGTGCCTTCCCCAGACAATATAAATTTTTTAAATCCGTAAAACCCTGAAATTCTTACAGTCGTAAATGGCTGTCCTTTTAAAGTTTAAAGATTTTAGGATGTTCAATTCTAAAATCCGTAACTTCCTTAATTTTAAACGGCTGCCCGTTTTAAATTTTAAAGAATTTTAGACTTTTAAGGGATAAACGTTTCGAGGTTGTTAAGTGCTTTAAAGCCTTTTAAGATCCTTTAAATCTTGAAAATTTTGAAAGGCTTTAAATACCTTAAAAAGCCCTTCAAATTTGAAAAGGGCTGCCCCTTTTAAGGATCTTCAAAATTGCAAATGGTCTGGGGAAGCCCCGGTGCCTTCCACAGATCATCTAGATTTTTTCAAACCCCTAAAACCTAAAACCCTGAAAAGCCTTAAGCTTCTAAATGGCTACCCTTCTAAAATTTTATAGAGCCGCAAAACACAAGTTTCAGAAGCAAAATGCACATAAAAACACTAGTGTTTTTATAGAGGATAATATAATAGAGCTTGTTGTATTCCAGTGCAGTTTTTACTGCATTTTTCCGGTGAAAAAACAGAAAATCAGACAAAGACGAAGACAGGAAAACCATAGGTGTGGATCATGGGGGGGGCTGACCATATATATATATATATACTCTATATAATATATATATATATAATTGCACATATATAGTACATGTCTATATATGTATATACATATATATATATATATAGAGTGTATATTTGCACGTATGTATATATCATGTTGCGACCAGCACTGCTTTGTCGCCAAGCCGCCCAGGCAATGTTCGACAAATGCTGTGGGCTGCCCTCGTGCATCTTCCTGCGACAGGCACGCAGGGACTCATGAGCTTCCACGTCGACTGAGCCGCGGCATACGGAACTAAAGTGGTGCGACTCCCTGCGCACATCACAAGTTCAGACCTGGTCGACCCTTCAGCCGCCTTATCGCCGCGTCAGCGAGACAGCGCAAGAGCTGAACGTCTTCTTTGAAGCCCAGCCTGTCTTTGCAAGCCGCGCTCCCAAAGCTCCGCGCATGACAAGTGCCCCTCCTCTCATGCTCCCCCCTGCCTTGCGCATGCCCACAGGAAGTTGGACTGATGTTGCGAGGAGAAGTCCTCCACAGTGCGTTTGGCCACGCGCGCGGCCCCACGGAGGAAGGCCTCGTGCTTGTATCCTGCAGAACTGGAATCAACATTCGACCCCTTGAACTTGAGAGGGTGTGTTTAAAGTGTGCCCACTGCCCTCACCTCAGTCATATTCATACAGTAGGTACAATATGGGGGGGAGGGGAATGAACCGATGGGCTCTTTGAGAATTTCTATCAGAGACTCCTGCTGTGCCACAGGCCCACATCACCTGCACCAGATTCTGCGGAACGAAGGCATCAATCTGTGCGGCCGCGGCATCCTTTGAGGTGCTCGATCAAGTATGAGGGTTTAGGGTTTAGGGTTTAGGGTTTAGGGTTTAGGGTTTAGGGTTTAGGGTTTAGGGTTTAGGGTTTAGGGTTTAGGGATACCTCCTTGGCGTGAACAAAGAACGCGATCACCCTACATTTGACTCTAGAAGCCGAGGCCTTGAAACACAACACTCGCCACCAAACACGGGCCTCCAAAGTCCAAAAGGGATGGCTTACATGTTGGCTTAGAATGCCCCTTGCCCCTGATTATTCTCTGGGAGGTGGCCAGTGTACAGAGCGATTGTCCCTTCCGACAGTGCACCCTGAGCAGCGGACTTCTTCCTTCTTGCAACTTGCGGACTTTCCCCAGACCCCACCCTAAACCCTAAACCCTAAACCCTAAACCCCAAACCCCTATGGGCACAACTCGGCTCCCACATCCTGAAACTCTCGGCACAAACACTCCACGCCCTCGGGGCCGAAAGAGAAAAGATCGGGCTCGAAGGGCTTCAGGGCTTGGGGTTTAGGGTTTAGGGTTTAGGGTTTAGGGTTTAGGGTTTAGGGTTTAGGGTTTAGGGTTTAGGGTTTAGGGTTTAGGGTTTAGGGTTTAGGGTTTAGGGCCTCCACAAGGCCCCAAAGGCCCCAAAAGCACCAGAAAAGCCCCCAGGGGAAGCCTAAAGCTCAGCACAGGGGCGCAGAGAGCCTCGAAGGCGGCCTCTGCCTGAGCAGGGGGCTTAAGGCTTTAAAGTGTTTAGGGGTTTTGGGGCCTACGTAAAAAAAAAAAAAAAAAAAAAAAAAAAAAAAAAAAAAACCTAAACCCTAAACCCTGAACCCTAGACCCTAAGCCCTAAGCTTAAGGCTTTGAGTGCTTACGGTTTTGGGGCCTAGGCAGCCTGAGGGCTTCCAGGCCTTTTGAATGTCAAGGTTTGCTTGTGTTTGGGGCCTGTTTTGGGCTTTGGGGCTTGAGGATTTTCAGATTTTGAGGCTTTAGAGCTGGGGGGGGATAAATGCCAAGAAGCCCTGAACCCTCAACCTTCAACACCTCCGAACCCGAAAAACCCGAAACTCAAAACCCCGAAACCCCTAAACCCCCAAACCCTAAACCCCAAACCCTAAACCCCAAAACCCCAAAACCCGAAACACAAAACCCAAAAAACCCGAAAGTCTCAACCCCTCCGCCTTAAAGGACAGCTTGGCCAAGCCCCAGGAGATGAGGGCCTCAGACGCGACTCTGGGGTTCTTAGCGCTTTTGTAGGGTTTAGGGGTTTAGGGTTTAGGGTTTAGGGTTTAGGGTTTAGGGTTTAGGGTTCAGGGTTGGGGGTTTAGGGTTGGGGCTTAGGGCTTAGGGTTTAGGCTGTTTAGAGTTGCTGAAGGTTGTTTAGAGCCTTAGGGGGTTGCTAAGGGTTGTTTAGGGCGCTTAAGGGCGTTTAAGGGTTTTAACGGGTGTTTGGGGCTCGGTTTTCGAAGCCCAACCCCTCGAACCCTAAGCCCCTAAATGCTTAGATTGCCAACTTTACAGGGGCATGGGGAGGGTTCAAGCTTTTTCGGGTTCATGCCTTAGGGTTCAAGGGTTAAGAACCCTGAAGCCTGAACCCTGAACCCTAAACCCTAAACCCTAAACCCGAAACCCTAAACCCTAGGAGGGAGCTTTGCAGCAGGGCCACGATGTTCAGCGGCTGGAACTCGTTGGACCTGGCGGTGATGGCACCGATGGCCATGCGGAGGAACTCGTCGATGGAGGGGTCATCCTTGTAGGACACCGTGGCGATGGCCTCACACCGGGGCTCGATAAACCCCAAAGCTGAGAAATTCCTGATCCTGGCGGTTGTCGAAAGAATAACAAAATCAAGAATAACAAAATCTGAACCGCAAAGGCCGGCCAAAACTCCAAACCTCCCTAAACCCTAAACCCTAAACCCAAACTGTTCATAAATAAGTCCCAAGGGCCAAAAGCAGCCCAAGCAGCCCGAAACTTGAAACCATAAGACCCCAACTCACGATACAGGTCGCGCTGTTAGGAGCTACAGTAGCATCTCAAGCCTCTTGAGGACACCACTTTCAGGTTTCGGGTTGAGAGTGTAAGGATTTTGGGCGCCAGATCTCACGGCAAGAGTCCCAGATGATTGTCGCCATGTTCTGGCCCGTGAAGCTCCGCATGAGCTCCTCGGTTGGCCCCGTTTTTAGACCCTTCGAGGAGTACTCCTGTTTAGGGGTTAGGGTTTGTGGATTCCTAAAGTGGAATCCCTCTTAACCCAATATAAGCGAAAGCAGATATATATATATATATATATCCGATCCAGAGGGGCTATATTCCCTCAAGCCGACCCTCTTAAACTACAAAGTAGTGCACTCTGAAAACGTCTATAATGTTGGGGAGTCTTGTGCTCAGTAAACACAAAATCGAATCACAGAGAACAACCCCTAAATCCCAAACCCCAAACCCTAAACCCTCAACCCCAAACCAGGTGTCCATGGACCGCCGTGCAATATAGGCCATGAGGTCGGGGTCGTAGTCCCCGCGGGTTGCGAGGGCCCAGGCGATCATGGAAAGCTCTGAAGGAGCGTACTCCTGCAACTTAGGGGGTGTATGGTGTAGGGATGCTTGGAGGTTAGAGTTAAGGGTTTGGGGCTTGTGTAGGGTTCAGGGTTTAGGGCGTTAAATGGGCTCAGGGCTGAGGCTTTACTAAAAACCCTCAACAATCTAGCTAAAACACCTGAACCCTACATCCCAAGCCCTAAACCCCAAACCCTAAACCTTAAACCCTAAGCCCTAAACCCTAAACCCTGAACCCTACATCCCAAGCCCCACAGTGGAACATCCGCCAGAGTCCTTGAGCCGCAAGACGCGGGTGCGGACAGCATTCTTCCACGCGTCTCCCACGGGATAGGCCAACTTGGTGAAGGCCCAGTTCACCTTCGGGGGGTTTAGGGTTTAGGGTTCAGGGTTTAGGGTTTAGGGTTTAGGGTTTAGGGTTTGGGGTTTGGGGTTTGGGGTTTGGGGTTTGGGGTGTGGGGTTTGGGGTTTGGGGTTTAGGGTTTCCAGGGCTGGAACTTATGGGCCCCTGACATGGGCCCTCAATCTTGAATGCCCTTCTATGAACCTTGAAGGGCTCCTACAGTCTCCCCGATTTGAAGCCAGGAGAAACAGGGTTTAGGGTTTCAGGGTTTAGGGTTTAGGGTGTAGGGTTTAGGGTTCTGAAGCACAAAGCAAGCAAGCCTCACACCGCTGCCTAACACATGCCACGCCACCAGAGTGGACCCATCCAAAACCCTGGGGCTTGGGGGCTAAAGATACCTGCTTGTGGCTCGCCAACACCAAAGTACCGGGACATGGCCCTTCGCGACAAAGTGCTCTACAGAGCTCTTTCCTGCATCGGGCGGCAATGGCAAGCTCCTGCGTGGTGAAGTCGTCCAGTCGTCGGAGAGATTCTTGCCTCACGGTACAAGGGTTTCGGGTGTAGTTCTTGATAGACCGCAAGCCGCAAGGCCTAAAAAAATCTGTTCTGGTCTCGGAAGTTGCTGCGGGCCTAAACCTCAAGCCCCAAACACCAGCCCTGAACCCCGAGCACACCAGAGACCCGCCTGAACTCAACATGTTCCAAGTCGCAGAAGGTCCGCATGCAGGTCGTCCGAGCGCATGCCTGCAGATCAGGTTCTTGTATTCAGCAGTTATAATTGCCGGGTTTTCATGCGCGCCGCGAGCCAATGTGAGGCTCTTGTGTCACCTCATGTAGACCCCGGTTGAGTGTTTAGGGCCTGGGGGCTTGGGTCAAAGGTCGGGAGTCTCCGACGCTGGGCGATGTAGAGGCTTTTGGGAGAAAGACCTTTAGGGTTTAGGGGTTTGGGGTTCAGGGTTTAGGGTTTAGGGACCATGGATTTGGGGCAGACCGTGAGAAGGCGCACTGCTGTCTAGCATCTTTCTGAGTCATGGGCTGACCTTATCGATCCCTCTCCTCTACTCCCTTGGGGTCGCCCCCACCACCAGAAGAGCTGAGACATGCTTCGAGGGACCAAGCTTGGGGGATTGAGGCTTATTTGGACCTCACATTTCAAGCTTCCTGATAAGCTTAGCAAACTTCAGGGCGAGGAGAATTGACACATTTATCTAATCGGCATCCGAGGCCTAGTGTTGCGTTTGCCCAGATCAAGTTGGAGATGTTCTGCACACCGAAGCTGTCCTGACACATGGGGGTTTAGGGTTTAGGGCTTAGGGCTTAGGGCTTAGGGCTTAGGGCTTAGGGCTTAGGGCTTTGGGCTTTGGGCTTTGGGCTTTGGGCTTTGGGCTTTGGGCTTAGGGCTTAGGGCTTAGGGCTTGGTTTAGGGTTGCTCAGTCCGCCACTGCCACTTCGATCCCGATCCCTACTCGGCAGCAATTGGAGAACGAAACGGTGCAAGCAGGGAGCCTCAGCCTTTAAAGCCCCTGTCCTGCCTTCGGATACCGGGAGCCCACCTAACTAAAGCCGGAGCCCAGAACCGCCCACAAAGCAACTTTGCAGACCCAGGCGCCAGCTTCTTGCGCGATTCCACTGCGATGGCGGCCAGCAGCGCCTCGTCTCGCCTTCCGATGGTGGCCTCGTGAGGGCTCCGTCGTTTCAAAACCGGTGGGGTCTTCCGGGCTTTGCGCTCATACAGCCTGCTGTTGTAAGGCATGCATCTGTCTTACGGCGCATAATAAAAGCCCTGAATACCTGAAAGTCCATCTTGGCCCACCCTAAACCCAAAACCCTAAACCGATTCCTAGACGACACCTGCACTCTGCAGCTGTAGCGGCAAAAGACCACGCCACGATGGCCAGGCCCTGCGGATCCAAGTCCTGCCGCCGCGGCAAAAGGGTTTAGGGGGGCTTCATAGGCTTCAGGGTTTAGGGTTTAGGGTTTGGGGTTTAGGGTTTAGGGTTTAGGGGGTAGGGTTAAGGGTTTAGGGTTTAGGGTTCAGGGTTCAGGGTTTAGTTTAGGGTTTAGGGTTTGGGGTTTAGGGTTTATGGTTTCGGGGAGGGCACGAAGCTGAACAATCTGGGATTACCAGAGAGCTTGCCTCGAACATGAGGCGAGTGGCGAGGGTCGATTCCGTGTAGAACCCTAAACCCTAAACCCTACACCCTAAACCCTAAACCCTAAACCCTAAACCCTAAACTACCCTAAACCCTAAGCCCGGGTAGCTGGGGTCTCCGATCTCCCATTGTCCTGCACAATGCCCTGGGCGCGCAGGGAGAGCCTGCGAAAGATCTCATCATCCTTGCACTGCATCTTGGCCTCCGTTGATGTCTTGGGCTGTTGGGGTTCCAATGAATTAAGGGTTTAGGGTTTAGGGTTTCGGGACTAGGGTTTAGGGTTTAGGGTTTACGGCTTGGAGTTTGGGGTTTCGGTTTTCAAGTATAAGGATTAGGGTTTGCAGTTCAGGTTTTAACGTATGCGCCGTACTGGCACAGCATCTCTGCTTCGACGTGCAACTTCAGGTCCTGCCCAAACCCTGTTTAGGGTTTGGGCCCTTAGGGTTTTGGGTTTAAGGTTTGGGCCCTTTATGTGCGGATCGGTAGCCAGGCCCCACGTTGCATCCGACAAGCCCCATGCCGAGAGGTCCTGCGCAGCACAAATGCAAGGCTGGGCTCGGGGTTTGGGGCCCAGCTTGAACGCGCGCAAAGGAAGTCGCAAACCACAAAGCTCCGAAATCCGGACCCCTGCGTTTGAGCTCCTACAACCGCGACTTACAGAATGCTTAGAGTATCTGGCTCTGAACTCCTCAACAGAATCTCTGAAGCTATGAGCCCTGCGGGCCCTACGTCCTTGCATTTTGCCCGGAGCAACTGCAGCAGCCGTGGAAATCGCGGATCTGCCATGGCCATCTTGGACTCGCCGGCTTCCACCTCGCGGTGGGGCTCCCGGGTCATCGGATATGTCACTTAGAACTTGGTAGCCCTGGAACTATATTCTGATAAGGGTACCCTCTTTGGATTGGCAACTTGAAAAGGGGAATCTTCCACCACAAGAATGGGCGAAAGGGTACCACTGGGCTGCAAAAGAGAAGGAGAGTTCAAACGTTGGACAGTCAGGTGCTCCAACATGGTATCACGCCACCCATCTCGATTGAACTAGGTTGCTGGTCCACTGGCGGTTGAGTCCCAAGTTCTTTGGATGGTGATCTCTTTTCAAGGATTCAAGGCGGTTCTCTACCTCCCCTTCTTCTGGCCCTTTTCTGTCCTGCCCACGCTAACTTACACGCACAGAGCACATGCGTGAGATATCCTAGGGTTAAAGGAGTTTCAGTTTAACCCTAAGACTCAAGCTGGTGGTTTAGAGGTCACCCTAAACCCTAAACCCTAAACCCTAAGGCTTGCAAAACTCCATCTCGGAGATGGCCATCGACCAGCCCTACATGAACTGATGCCTTCGCATGGGGGGTAGTTTGAAACTAGGGTCCCTGTCAGGGATGTAAGGTTTTAGTATCAGGGGCCCAACTTGAAAGTATGGTACCCTAAACCCTAAACCCTAAACGCTAAACCCTAAACCCTAAACCCTATACCCTATACCCTATACCCTATACCCTATACCCTAAACCCTAAACCCTACATCCATTCCGCTTGCAAGTACAGCAGTGCTTCGATGTCGAGCCCCGCACGCTGGACTTGGCCACTCGGTGCACAGCGGTGGAGGTGTTTCGAAAGTCGAAGAGATCTCCCAGGTTGTCCACCACTGCCAAGACCTTCAGCGTCCAGAGTTGAGAGGTGAGAGGGCTAAGGGTTTTGGGTTGCGGGCTTCGGGCTTATGGCTTAGGGCTTAGGGTTTAGGGTTTAGGAAGGTTATCGGAGGTGCCCCATGAACACTTCCCCACACACTCTGTACTCTGTGCTTTGTGGTTGTGCTTTGTGGGTTCTCACCCCCGGCCTCGCGCCAATTTCTGCACTCTGTCACAGAGACCTGCATCTCGATCGTGAGCTGTTTTGACGGGGGTGGTGGCCTGTAGACGTAGCCTTGGAGACACAAACAGAAGAAGCCGGCACGGAATGGTGCGGCTTCATCGGTGGATACTCTCACTCACTCACTCACTCACTCACTCAGCATATTGCTTGCTGTATCTCCATTGAGTGTGTTGGTGGCTTCGGTTTCTTAGGCAGCTCGGAGCCATGTGGACCCAGCACGCAGCCGTTGACAATGTCATCCTCTGAAATAACCTGGGCTGGTATTATGGAACTTGAATCAAGTTGGAAGACTATGGGTATACAACCACAATTTTGGGTCACTTCGTCCAAGATGTCTAATCGCAACCCGGAATCTGCAGTTCCAGCCGACATGGTCTTGCAGAAGGCCGTGCAATCGCGGGCATCAAAAGCACAACTGGGGGACAATGTTCCAGTTCATCGTCCCAAGCACCATACGCATTAAACCCTAAGCTTTAAACCTTACACTTACACCCCTCGGAACCTAACCTATGTATGCCGCATTTGGAGCTCTTTGTGTTCAAGGTTGACGCAAGCATGCATACACGTGCTACCACCTAAAAACCAAGAGAGTTTTTCCCAACCCAGGCTCCATTCAAGTGGTTGAGGCTCAAGGGCCTTAGGCTTCTCAAGCCTTTCAGGGCTTAGGGGTTTCAAGGTTTACGGACGAAGGCTTGAGGCTTTGGGTTGGAACTTAGGGCTGCAAATTTAGGGGCGTCGGGTTTGAAAGTGTAGGCAGTTTGGGTATGGTGTAGGCGGAGGCCATTGGTACAAACAACCGGGGAGCGACATCTGAGCCAAGTGCCAGCAACAGCTTGCCAAGCAAGGGAATTGGTTAAGTTGAGGGTTCTGTTGAAGGTTTGGGGGTGCTACATTTGGCACCCTCTGCTCGGTTGGAGAAGTTCTTGAGCAATCAGCGGTTCAGGGTCACGTTTAGCCGGCCAAGTAACACGGCCACGGTTCGGGGACTTGGAAGGGTATCTATGTCCGGGGATTTCCGGCGCGGCCATGAGCCTACAGGATCGCAAACGCATGTAAAAGCCTCTTTCAACTTTAAGAGTCTTCGCTGGAGCACTTGTCCTTCACGCGCTGCAAGCCCACTGCTTACGATTTGAAGTCAACCACGAGGAGAAGGAGCGCCTTGCCCGCGACGCGCAACCAGTGGGCGAACAGATCCCTCGTGAGACTCGTGAGATCAGTACACAACATACCGATCCTGGGGCAACATGGAGGCTGTCTTTGGTAGGAGGAACACAAGCCCCTCCTCCTCCTGCTCCTCCTCCTCCTGCACCAGCCACGATGCTCTCTGTCCTTCCTTCTTGCACGGGAACCCGGAAGGACTGGGACTCCAGAGCACCGTGAGTGGCAGTCACGACAACTGGTCACAGGCACGCACGGTATCTCGACACTGCGCGAAGATGTTGATGAGAGCAGAACTGAAATGCGATGTGTGTTTGGATTACCGACAAAGCTGCGGATGTTGTTTGATGCCAGGGCGAACATCCTCAGTCCAGAGACCCGTAAGCCATGGCCGAAAAGGCACGAGATATGCAAGACATACCTAAGCGACAAGATGTATACTACAGCACTCGGTGTAAGCGCACGAGATGGGTGGGTGCTTCATTACCCCAAGGAACCCAAGCATAGGCCGGAACGTCGTACAGTTAGGGGTGTGGCGCCCGTAGTGAAAAAGCCTGCTCCGTGCATGCAACCAACCATCGATGCAGGAATTCCCGACTGGCGGCCTGCAGGATGTCCCTGCTTTACAGGAAAAGTGGCCGCTATACATTCGACACTTATCAGCAATGCTCTCAAGCACGGGTCTTCTTGTGAATTAGCTGTCTGCTCAAGTTCGAGCGTACATTGGCAACGGCGTGTCAGCCACAGAAAGTGATATGAACGTACTCACAGAAGCCAGAATAGCTTCATCGTTCCCCATGCAATCCCCAGACAGCCAGCTGAGCCAAGCCTATGCAGCACAAAGTAGAAAAACACGAGCACAACTCAAGTGAAAAAACACTGAAAAATTTCTTCAGCGAAGGTTGAAACAATCGCTGCGCCGCAAAAAGAAGTTACTGCGCAACCCTGAAAAGTACACGTGTAGACTACGCCAATCAGAAAAAAAACAATAGCTCCGCAAGTTTTTTCTGGTTGTTTCCCGTGATATTTTTGCTTTTCGCGCACGTTGCTGAGATGCAACAAAGTCGGGGCTGTAGTACATTGGCGACGGCGTGTCATCCACAGAAGTGGTATGAGCATAACACAGCTTACAGAAGCAAGAACAGTTTCATCGTTCACCCTCCATTTTATTGAACGTGAAGGAATCGACTTCAAACAGCGTCTTTGGAGTCATACAAGGTTTGAGCAAGAAGCTTTTTGTGACATCGGGCAAAGCAAATGTCTCCTCTGAGGCCACATGCAGTTAGGTCAGGGCAGTCCCGTTGGGTATATGATGGTATATGGCACCACCCCGTTCACGCCGATCAACAAAGAAGCATCGCAAGCAAGCGGTTTTGAGCAAGCACAAATACCGTTAACTCATTTCTGTTTTTGGCCAGCTCATCGGAAAAAAAGCATGCCCGTTGCCTTCCAATAATTGCTAACGACATACAAATACCACGCATTCGCAGAAACCAAAGACAATCACATTCCGATTGCAACTTGTCGCACGTTGGCTTGCCGCAAAACATTGAACACGAAGCATCTCACAAGCTCAAGGTTCAGCAATGTACAAATCTTACTTGCAAAACTGACAAGTCTGGCATTCCTCTGCCAAGAGCCTTCTTAGACCAAGCAAGAAACCTGGAACAAAATCAAACGCAATTTTCAGCGTGCCAAGACGGGCAACTGTGCAGATGCGCATGTTTGTAGTGCACGTTTGTTGTTTCAGCTCAGGTGCCTTTCTTCCGCTCTTCGATATCTGCCACGCAACGTACACAACTTTTCAAGCCTCCCACCAGAAGATTGTGCCACGGATGCAGCAAAGACCAAATCAGCTTGCAACATAGCTCTTTAGAACAGCTGCGAGGCGGAAGATGCAACTTTGAACACTCTGCAGTTCCAAGCATGCTGAGGTCCTTTCTGTCTTCTGGAAGTGCACAGTCGTGCAACGACAGGTTCCATCCATCGAGTTTGCTGAAGAATCTTCCACAAAAAAAGACTTTCAAGCCAGCATTCCTGAACACAGGTCTTTTGTGAAAAGCAGAGCTCGCGCAGCAGTCTCTTTTTTCACTTCGCACTTGAGCCAAACACCAAAGTGTTCAGCAAGCTTCAGTTCTTGCAGCAAGCTCTCTCCAAGAGCTAAGGACTCCAAAAAGCTACGAATTCCATCTCAACTTTGTTCTACAAAGGAGGTAAAGCAAAAGAACAATGCAACTGCTTTTGGTCTACACCTCGGGACTTCAGGTCACTTCCAAACAGCAAAAACAGCGAAGCTTCAGAGTCCACTCTGCACTCCTACTCCCATCCTACACGTCCAACGGCAACGAACGAAGTGGCGGGGGACAACGGAGTGAGTTGCAGCAAGACAGAACCTTAGAGTTCTGACACGCACTTCTTCACTGCTGCTCTCCTGCAGTTCCAGAGACTTTGAGCAAAACCAAACATGCTCATGCTAAGTCATGCAGCACCACATGGCACCAACTGGGCAAACACTACAGGTGAATTTTTCACATCTTTTTTGTGCACGTTCAAGAATTCGCTGTTGTTGGTTTTGCCCAGACTGCACTTCTTAAACCAAGGAAGCGGCAGCAGAGAGCAAACAACAGGCTTATGGAAGCAAGAAGAGAAATTCTCAAGCCTATGGGCTCTTAAGATCCAGTCCAGATTGCGGAAGGAACACGTGTCGCTCGGCTCACTGCCGTGCCAAGACACTTAGAACTCTTTTGGTTGACAAGAAAGTTGCGCATTGAAAGAAAGGCACGAACGCACAACGAAATTTGTGATTCATGCAGCAAATGCACAAAGCCAAGTCTGGCTTCGAAAAAAGGTGAAGCTGTCTAAAATCATGCCAGCAACATGTCCTTTCCAAAAAAAGAAATGCCTGTGGATCGTTGACAGAACAGCAGATCCATTGTCTTCGACACTCTGAGCGAAGGAGTGGCAATGTGGCTATGCTTGACTTGGTGGCACTGTTGATTGAGGTTCGTGGATATCTCTGCGAAGATGGTTTTCACTTTTTGGCATGTATTCGCATTTTGTGATTTCCCTGCACAGCTTGGTATGGATGTGCTCTTGGATATCGACGACGTTGAGCACTGGCGCGCGGGGAACCCCAGTTTGGTCGCTTCCGGTTTCTTTTGGTTGTTGCTGCTTGTTCGCTGGGTTGTTTGGTTGGTTTGGTTGGTGGTGTTGCTCACACATGTGGGATGAACCATGAGTTTGCTCTGCATGAGTGTGAAACTGCGTCTAAAACCTTTTGCGTGCTTTAAGAAGAGTAACCAACCCCAAAAGGGGTGCTCTTATTTTTTTGCATGGGTACTGGCCACCAAATAAGACATCGGCTCATGTCGTCCACAAGGTCCCACAAGCCAAGGCGAAAGTCCTTGAGCTTCCGGCATTCTTTTAACCCTGTTTGGAGAATGATGGCTTGCCTAAGAACACCTTTAGCTTGCAGTTCTTCAACTTTGGAAGCGATTTTCAACCAAAGCTTGGAGAATGTGGTCTTTTTGCTTACAAAGCAATTCTGAATGACAAAGCTGAGAAGGCAGTGACCGCACAAAGACAGAAGCTGCTGTGAAAGTGTGTATGATGAGCAGAGAAGCACCAGAGAAAATCATGCTGCGTCGCAAAGTAAATTCCGGAGGAGGTGCTTGAGGACCTCCTCAGTGCAAAGCACCCGCGTCTGCAAGTCCGCCAGGTGAGGAGACTCCGAGGCAGCCCCAGAAAACCTTTTTCGGTTGAATCTCTATCTGACGTTTTGTCTCCGTCCGAGACTAGCTCCAGAAGAGCCTTTAGCGCATGTTCTCCAGCAAGCTTCTGATCAGGTTTTTTTTCTTTGACCCCTTTCCGAAGCTTGCGACAGTGATGTGGAACTTGTCTTGGTTCGACCTGCAAAGCGGGTCCGTGCCGCTGTCAAACTTGAGAATGTGCTGCAAAATGTTCTGGGAGTGAACAGAACCCGCTGCGAAGCAGTCGCAAGGGTGAAGCAAGAGCCGGCGAAGAAGCTCTGCTGAGCCACGGAGGAAATTTGCCCCCAAGGTCTCATATTAAAACCGTTGGGCACGTCGACCTCCTCAAAGCGGGTTGGTCGGAGGGAAATCCCTCTTGTTCATTGGGACAGGGTGTCCTGTGACTTATGCGGGAGTGTCAAGAAGCAGGATCACACATGGAGATGTGACACCTGCGATTGGGAT